CGAACTGTTGCCATAGGTCTGCCCACGAAGAGATTGAGTAGGGAGGAAGATGCATCAGCCATGAACGTGCAAAACCTTTCAACGCAGTTGGTAAATAATTTGCCAACGCGTTGTCGTCTGCTCCGGCAGCGTAGAGTACTGTGGAGTAGACTTGAAGGAACTCCTCTGGGCCGGTGCTCCCATCATACTTTTCTATTGCTCCAGGTTGGAATCTCTCAGGCCATCGGACATCACGCAGGGAACGACCGAAAGCCCTACACCCAGCGTTGGGGGCGGTGGGTTGTCGGCGGTCGTGTGTCCTTCGTGGATGTCTGTCTGATGATGAGGAGGACGAGGATGATGACGATGACGACGGGTCGCTTGGTTCCGGCGTACGATTACGAGGATGTCGGCCTGGATCTCGGGAATCCTGTCGTCGTCTCCCACTGTTGTCTCGGCGCCGATCTCTGTCATCGTCTTCGTTATGGCGATGGCCTCGACCTGTATTGTCTGGCACCCGTCGTTCGCGATCGTTGTGATCGTGGTGGTTGTCCTGGTCTCGGTCCTCGTTTGAGCGGTCTCTTTGATTTCCGTTATCATGGCGCCGTGAAGAGACATGACGCCGAGAACGATTCACATTGTCTTGTGTACGTCGTGCCTCTCGGCGGCCGTTGATGTGATCTCGGAGATCGCCAGTGCCGCGAGGTGGAGGGGTAGCTCGTTGGGGTGATTCCCTTCGTTCTGGGTCTTCACCATTGACATCGCCAGTTGGTGGCTGCTCCGAGTGCGCTGCGGTAGCGGCTTCTTCAAACGCGTTGCTGAGGTTGGTCACTGATTCCCGTAGTCATTCTGTCCAACGCTCGAGGTCATCGTTCAGAACGGGATCGTAGGGAGTTTCCCTCAGTATAGCTTGAACGGCCCTAATGTGCTGGGCTGGAGTAGTCAATTGTCCTCCCGCTTCTGCGTTGGCATGCGCTGACGTGCCAACGTCATCGATAGCCAATACCTCCCGCGGCGCACTCGTTATCGATGACCCATAGTCTTCGAGAAGGTGTAAGACTGATGATTCGTGAGGATCGATATCGATTACCCCAACAAATCGATCTGAAGTTGAAGTCGCTCCTTGTTCCTTGTCGTTATCCCTGATGGGGACGTATGACTTCGGAGACGGAGCTTTCATGGCGCCAAGAAAGACCTTGCAGCTTGAGAGGTCGTGATTCTTTGTCTTGTGAATAGGACAATAGACATCACGAGTTGGAGAAACACGCTGAATTCCACGCTCTTTGCAGGCGCGAATTTCAGCGCGGACGTTGAGGAAAACCTAGCAGGCTTACAAAGTGTGTTTCCTGGTTTTGTGGATAGGACACCAGGACCTTGTGGCTTCGGAAGTCATCTTTGTCAGCTCGCGATTCATGTCGGAAGAACAAGGTTTGGCCGCATCAGAATCCTTCTCGAGCTCGGATGTCGTCGATGCTCCGTTCTCCGTCTCAGCGGGAGGATTTTTCGACATGAAGTCGTCTTGGTTTGTAGACACTGCGTTCTCGTTTCCGGTCATTGGGGGACCGGTTGAGATCGGCGTTGTGGTGTAAACCGGGAAGACGATTTCGCTGACTTGAGTCCATACCAGCATCGTTAAAGCAGGGTGTACTTGGCTGAGGTTGGTGTTGACGCCGTTGTCGACGAAGCTGGATGACATAGTAGTAGAACCTTGAGTACCAAGTGCCCCTACCTGGCGCGCCACTGTCGATAGGTGATGCCCGTAGACCGGATATAGAGGGTATTGGGGTACGTTGGTACAAGGATCTACGTAGTACGACATCAAGCGAACAAAAGACAAGAATTATACTGGTTCAGGCCCCTTGATAGGTAATAGCCCTAATCCAGTTGATGTGGGATTATATGGTGGAAAACACATGTTACAAAGGGAACAATGGAACTTGTCGAATCCGGCGAAATCGTAGTCGAGTTGATTCGACTAGATCTCGATGGCTTGGCTCCTTGCAGGCTCCGGCTTCGTAGGCTACGTGGGTTGTGTCGGCTCTGAGATTCGATCCTTTAAGCCCTCACCGGGGGGTCCCTTTTATATCACAGATCTGGAGGTCTCCAAGTAGAACTTGGAGATATCAGACCCTATTCGATACGTCAACGACCCAATCTTGTCCGAGTAGGATTCTTCCCATCCGTAGATTCCGTGAAGGATTTCCATAGAATATACAAGAAGTATCTGTATGCGCGTGGGTATACCATACTGATATGTAACATATATCGAAGGGTAAAGGGTATGCCTAACCCGTAACCCTGACAATCATCATTTTTTTTACCCACTATATTTTCTTTTAAAAAAGATTTCTGAACTTGAACAAGAGCTATATAAGAAAATAAGCTCACACCCACCAAGTTCATAATACTTATTGTTTTAGATAAGTAAACGGTCTCGAAAAACAATTTTGACCACTTTCCTCCATCATAATATAAATAGAAATATTGTAATAATATAATTTCATTGATGTACTTTTTAAGACTAATATATACATATAGTCTTCATATTTTAAAACAAATAATTTTAAAATATTTATAGTTAAAAAGTTTAAAAGGGTGTGTTTATTTCACGCCAAATTAAATTGGAAGTTTGATTAAAATTGGAACGATATGATGGAAAAGTTCGAAGTTTATGTGTGTAGAAAAGTTTTGATGTGATGAAAAAGTTGGAAGTTTGAAGAAAAAGTTGGGAGCTAATCTAGGCCAAAGTTTGACATTAGCCAATTCCAAACGACGAGTATTATCTATGTAAAGAAAGTAGCTAATTATACCAGTATATGTTAAATGGTATTGTCATTTTTTCTTTAACGGTAAATGATATTGTCGTTATCCATGATATGGATGGTTGATCGTTTTTATCAAAACCAAAACCCACCATTTGGACCCTGCTCGACTAACTACGACGGGGAATCGGGGATGTAGGAGTGTAGGACATAACAACGGCCATAGGAAAGCTAGTAAAGCAGTGGCTGTAAAAAAGTCATAACCATCGCTACTGCTCTTTGAAAGGTTATAGAATATTCTCGATTACTTTTTTTTTTGGAATACATAAAAGAGCATTGTACACTTTTGCATTAAGAGAAATAAAAGTTACATAAACGGCAAACAAAGAAGAGGGGGGGAGGGGGGAGGGGGTGGAAAGGAAAAAAAGGAAAGCAAAGACTTAAGTCTATTCTCGTGATTACAATGTGACGGCCGAACGACCAAACACGCTAACTAGAAAGTGTTGGCGATGGGGGATGGGCAAGAAGCCAAAGCGCTGTCTCTTGCGACATGGCTGCGACAACCTCAGGCTAGGATCGAGAACGGTTGTTTCTTTCCTTCCAAATGGACCAGGCACCAAGAGTCACAATAGTGTCGAACCCACGACGACGCTCCCTCAGAATTTTGAGCCGGAAAGAGCAGTGCCACTCATGGAAGGAATCAGCGTCAGAGGGGAAGCATTGAAGAAGGCCAAGGCTCGAAAAGATAGTCCACCACAGCTGGAGGGACTCAGCGCACCTAATCAGAATGTAATCGATTGTTTCTTCCAGTTGGTCATAGAAGACACAATAGGTTGGGTGCGACAGACTACGCTTCTCTAACCGGTCAGCCGTCCAGCAGCTCCGTTGAGCGACAAACCATAGGAAGTAGCGACACTGAGAGGGGCAAAAAAGCGCCAGATTGGTAGGTGCTAAAATGAGATCCTGCCTGGGAAGAGGGCAAGGTAAGCCGACCGGGTAGAGTACGACCCCGAACTCTCCCACCTCTAGATGAAAGAATCAGGATGGTCCTTTGAGAGAGTTGTTGTCTGCAACAACGACCAAATCTGCAAGTATTGCAGCATTGCCTGGACTCCCAAGGAGCCATGGAGATCGCGGATCCAACGGTTGTTGGCCAACGCATCAGCGACCAAGAGCTTTCGGCGGACACGCACCGGGACGCGATCATAAAGCTCAGGTGCCTAAGAGCGAAGGCTCGAATCCTGTAGCCATCTGTCCTCCTAGAAGAGGATCGACTTGATATTCTCGATAATCTGCCCATTTAAGTTTACTGCTCAGGCCATGACATGATAAACCAAGTGGCTGGAGAGTGGCCTTTGTATGGTAGCGAATCTATACGAGGGATGAATCTACATATGTGTTATAAATGTTTTTAAACCTATATGTATATTAGTGAATCTAGACCATGGACGGAGAAAACAATACGTTATATAATATGAAATTGAAGAAGTAATTAAGTCACTAGTTCAATCTCATTTCCTCAGAAGAATTATCCATGAATAAGTCCAACACAACTAAGATATACACACTACATATATGAATGATTCAGTATGCATCCGTCAACATAGTACAATATAGAAATTTTCTAGTACGATGATTCTTGATATGAGATATGCTCAGATTCGTAGTAATATGATGTATCACATTCTGTATTGCATTGTTTGTTATATTTTGGGATGTATGTAGTAGTTTATTTTTTTGTTTCAATAGATAAATAATTCAGTAGCTCAGCCTCAGATGAAATATCAGCAGATGAGGTCAGTCAGTCCCATTTCCACCACACAGCAGCAGCATCCATACATTTTTCTCTCTTTCTTTTCTTTCTTTTTATTTGTTGTTGAAAAGAGCATCCAAACATGCACGCATCAACATCCACACTCCACAGTGTGGCTGACGCCCTGCCGGTTTCTGCCGCCTCACGTCGCCGCGAGCGCCACCACAGTAGTACTAGTACACTAGTACACGAGTCCTCCCTCCATAATAATAATAATAATAATAATAATAATAATAATAAAAAAAAAACCGAGTCTCCGTGTACAACGTGACCGTCCATCTTATTTGAACGGAGGGAGTAGCACGCAAGAGCACAGAAGCCACAAAAAACGAGTTCGAAAGCGAGGCTGCCTTTTTGGCGCCATCCATGGCGCTCGCTGTCGTGCGCGCGCGCGCGCGCCCCCCGGCCCTTTTAACGGCAGCCGCATGGTGCGGGTAGCGCGCGCGCGCATCGCCTCGTCGGAGGAGGAGGAGGGAGATCGGAGATGGGGGCGGGGGAGGGAGGGGAGGAGCAGTCGCTGGCGCTGACGCCGACATGGGTGGTGGCCGGAGTCTGCTTCATCATCGTCGCCATCTCGCTCGCCGCCGAGCGCCTCCTCCACCGCCTCGGCAAGGCAAGCCAATCTTAATTTGCTTCAATTAATTACCTCCCCTTTTATCTTTGCGGCTCAAATCAGTAGTGTTTCCAGTTGTTCTTAGTTAAAATCCTCTGGTACTAAGCATTCAGATTCGATGAAGAACATCACCTGCTCATTCAAATTGATAGTATAGTATATACCATGGAATTTGCTGGTAACTACTCCCTCCACATTTTAATGTATGACGCCATTGACTTTTTATCCAACGTTTGACCATTCGTCTTATTAAAAAAATTTATACAATTATCATTTATTTTATTGTAACTCGATTCATCATCAAATGTTTTTTTAAGCATGATATAAATACTTTCATATTTGTACGAAAATTTTGAATAAAACGAATAGTCAAACGTTAGTCAAAAAGTCAACGGTGTCATACATTAGAATACAGAGGGAGTATCTGTCAGTGACCTGGAATTGTTGTTCAAGCTTGCTGCTTCACTTCCCACTGCACTGCACTGTTTCTCGTATGGCTTTACTCATGATGAACTCGGGCGATACAACTGTAGGATTGAAAAAGAGAGAGAGAGAGAGGTTAGATTCAGATGTTAGACAGCTCGAAATTGAAGTTTACTCTGTAGGAAGCAGAGATTTAGCCTTGCAAATTCCTGCAGTATATTGAGCCATCACTTTCTTTTACAGCAATAACTTCGCTCAAAACAAGTTTGCCTTTTTTACTAATTGTTGTATCCTTGTTCATCAGGTGCTAAAATTCAATGGGCAAGAAGCACTGTTTTCTGCTCTTCAGAGAGTCAAAGAAGGTAATATCATCCAAGTTCTTATAGTTAGAATGTTAGATTGCTGCCTGTACAACAATTTATTTCTTGGATACAAAGGACAATTTTCACTCTGTTTCTTTCACATATTACTGCCAGCAGAACCTGAAAAGATGATCTTATCGTCACCAAATGATAAAATAAAATGCTTCATGACACGATGGCCAGAACATTTCATACCAGTTTACTTATGCCACAATAATTTGTGCCATTTGTTCACTGCCTGATCCAGCTTGTTGATTACTTGTGCAGAGTTGATGCTTCTGGGTTTCATTTCCTTCCTGCTTAGCGTCTTCCAAAAATTTATCAATCACATTTGCATCCCGGAGAGTGCTGCACATCTCATGCTTCCATGCATTACTAGAGAGACGTCCGAGACCACAGAAGATGCTTCCAAACTTTGCAAGCGAAAGGTAGGATGTGAACTATGGAGAGATTTTCTTAAACTTTTGGGAATTTTTGATAAACTCCACCACGAAGTGTCCACTCTGGATTGTTTAGCTTTGTTATTTTTCACTAAAGAATTTGTTTCTTGTGGGTATCTTTTCTTTCTTGAAGAGTAGAACAAACAAGAAACTGTTATCTTCATGAATTTTTTACCAGATTGGTCGTTCCGAAATCACATTCTTATGCTTCTGTAGGGTGAAGTTCCTATGCTATCTGAAGAGGCTTTGCATCAGCTGCACATCTTTATCTTTGTCCTTGGTATTGTCCATGTTGTATTTTGTGTTACAACATTGTTACTTGGTGGAGCCAAGGTAAAACTATTTGTATGGATAAATATGTGCTCCTCACGGTGCATCAGTAAAATCAACTCATCTATGGTAAATTCTGCAGATGAAAAAATGGGAGAAATGGGAGAAAGAAATTCAACAAGGAAGAACCAAGGAGCGACCAAAGAGGCCAGGCTGGATGAAATTCATTGTTGTAAGATGTGCCGTAAGTAACCCGGGCCACCTATTATGCTTATCAATTACTATTTGTAACTCCATTATTAAATCGTCAGTTACAATTTACAAAGGAGGATGACAACAAGACTAAAATAGGTTCTCTGTTTATTCTGTTCTTGCCTCGCTGTTCCACCAATGATCAATTCGGATTTCAACCGCACCCCGGCCAGAAAATCATACTACTCTTTAGAGTAGTGTTGGTTAAATGTTACCTTGAATTGATAAGTAATCATATGCTTTCCTAGAACACCTAACGGTGATTCGTTTATTGTGGCATCCACTTATCATGTAAAAAAAGACATCCACCTCTAGTGAATTTTACAAAAAATATTTTTAAAAAAAAAATCAAACACTCAAGAGTCAGAACTAGAACTCAAAAATAAAATTTTACTATATAAGATCATGTAAGTTAGGAATTAAATATGTCGATAACCAGCAAAATATAAAAGTAGAGCCCTCGCGAGTAAGTTGTCATAATTCATAAAGTCCAAATGTGTGATCAGGACACACGCAAGCTCCATTGTGATAAAGGAATAGAATACCTGTAGATGGTCCATTGTCAGATAAGGTTAATTAAGGTACGGAAAAGCTATTGACATCAAAGATATGAATAGCATGGGTACAAACTGCAGCAGTACTGTATTACTTTTTTTTCTTATTTGAGGTGTCTCCCTGCAACATGGCAATATCATGACGAAACACTGATGTGTCTTGTACTAGGACAATGCATACTGTCTGCATAGTTATTGCAGAAATTCTGTGTCTCAAATACAAATTTCAACTTACTTTAGCTATATTCTAATACAGCCGATTTTGTTCATACATGATTTCAGATCTCATTCTTGAAGCAGTTTTATGATTCTGTTGGTAAACCTGATTATCAAGTACTTAGATCAGCTTTTGTTCAGGTCAGATGCATCTCTGAGTAACTTCAGCTCAATCATAAGTGTCATTGTACTATTTTTGAAGCTAATAGGACATAATTTTTTCCCCAGAGGCACTACCCAAACCGTCCTGATTTTGATTTCCACAAGTACATGGTTCGTGCTCTTGAGCATGATTTTAAAGAAGTAGTTGGAATCAGGTTAGTATCTTGGTTAAAATACTAACTTTACTTGATTAAAAACTACATCATCTTTACTGTATCTAATGCTATGCAATTACATGCAGCTGGTACCTATGGCTTTTCGTTATTGTCTTCCTGCTACTGAATATAAATGGTAACTCCCATAAACCTAAAAACAAGTGCCCTCATGTAATTGTTTGGATAACTGAATTCCATCACACTGATATCTACTTAAATTTTCTTTTCTTTCTTTTTTTTCTTTTTTTTTTGCTGGGAGATATCCACTTAAGTTACCATACGACTTATTCTATTTCTAGTACCACAATTTAGACTTTAACCACAGCATTTCCAGTTGACGAACATGATCCATTTTCACTCATTCAGAACAAGTCATGGATCACAACAACAATTGATCTGCATCAGACTGTTGAATGCCTGAACTAGGATTGTCTTTTGTCATTGAATGAAACTATCCAGTTTCCATCATCTATTCAGGTGGCTATCCCCTAAACTTTTCATTTGCATCCAATGCAGGGTGGCACACATACTTCTGGCTGTCTTTCTTGCCCTTAATTGTAAGTATGAACTTCAAACAACTCAACATATATGTCAACAGTGAGCACACTCTTTTCAGTTTTAATGATTGAGGAATTCCAACTTTTGGGGCACATCTGCAGCTCCTACTCATTGTTGGCACAAAGCTGGAGCTCATAAGCACTAGGCTGGCACAAGAGGCAGCAGACTGCCCAGATGAAGCAACAGGAAACCCCTGGACAAAGCCATGCAAGGAGCACTTCTGGTTCAGCAAGCCTAGGATTGTCCTCCATTTGATCCACTTCATCCTGTTCCAGAACTCCTTTGAGATGGGTTTTTTCTTCTGGGTTCTGGTCTGTTTTACAGCATTACATTCTTTTTTTTCCTGCACTTTTAATTTATCTTGCAGAAAGTACTCTTATGTCTTCATATGGGTTTCTGCAATTTTAATTAGTATAAAACTATGGTGCTAATTAAACAAGCTGGTAAATTTCAATTGCAGGCAACATATGGGTTTGATTCATGCATCATGGAGAACAAGATTTATGCCCTCCCCAGACTTGCTATTGGGTCAGTACTAAAAGTCTGAGCTTTACATCTGATTTCTGCTAGAAATTGATTGCTTTTCTTTAATTGGAATCTTAAAAAAAATTCAAATATTTCTGTATTACCTTCTCTAAAAAAAAATTTTAGTACATATTTCTGCACTGAATTGAATTGAACTGAACAGTAATGTGATGTTTCTGTCATGAACTTTTGCAGAATCATCGTCCAGGTGCTCTGCAGCTACAGCACGCTGCCGCTATACGCCATCGTTACCCACGTAATTAACATACAATTACTCTTTGCTACTACTCCGATCCTTCCATTACATATTATATCATTTTGACTTTTTTTTAAGTTAAACTTTATTAAGTTAGATTAAGTTTATAAAAAAATTAAATACGTTTTTTTTAAAAAACTTGGTCAAGCTTAGTCAAATTTAAAAAAGTTTGATAAAAAAAAATCAAACAACTTACAATATGAAATAGAGGGAGTATAATAAAAAAATTAAGTATATTATGCTTTAACTGTGACTCCGATGACGTGGGGCTGACGTCACGCTCGCCGCTGCTCAGATGGGCGGGGACATCAAGCTGCAGGCGTTCGGCGAGACGGTGCACGTGTCGGTGCACAGCTGGGCGACGGACGTGAGGAAGAAGAAGGCGGCGCCGCCGCCGCACTCCCACCTCCGCATCCCCTTCCTCATGAAGCGACGCCACAGCACCCGCGGCGCCGACGACGCCGCGGACGACGCCGGCGGCGACGTCGACCACCACCACCACCATCACGGCCACCACCATCACGGTCACCACCACCACGAGGGGAGCTCCGCGGCGGCGGCGGCGCCGGACCTGGAGGAGATCGTGGCGACGACGTCGGGCGGCGAGGACGGGCACCCGCCGGCGCCGCCGCCGCCGCCGCAAGGCCCACGGCCGTAGATATTATCGTATACGGAAGCCCGAGCCGCCGGCGGCCGGTGCCCACGGCGGCCGGCGTGGCGAGCCGGCGGCATGGAGACGTGTTGCTAGCTGAGTAGGTAAGCTACCTTGCGCGACACCGTTAGACCAATCGCTACGTGCCACGTGTATGGAGTTTGCTGATGAGCTGTACAAAATGGAGTTAATTATTAAAATTGTACATGCATGCAAACTTATGGAATTGGACACATATCATATTTTTGGCATACATGTACTCTTCTGTGTTATAGTACAATTAATGCAAATTAAATTGGATATAACTCTATGGCGTTAGTTCTACAACTTTATGGCGAAGTTCTGAGGAAAGCTCTGATGATGAACCTAAACAACCTCAAAGAAAGAAGTTTTACAACTAGCCAAGACAGAAAAATTAATTGATTTCTCTACAAATTAAAATCCACTTGTTTAATCTCTTCCGTCCAAGCATATAGCACATACATGCATGCACGGACGATCTCCTCTTGGGTTTAATTTGTTCGGAAACCTTTGCACGCACGAATTGTCTGTCACATGACTAAGTTTAATTTCAATCTTAATTAAGAGATAGATGATTCAGTATTCAGAAGCTTAATTAGGAGATGGTTTTGTTTTCATATGCTTAATTAATTAACTTTCTAGCTGCCTCCTTGTTAGAGTATGCATGATAAGGAAGATTGATCATGCTCTACCATAAAAGCTTTAGTATACAAGATATGTATATTGGATAATGTGGATCCGACCTCTGGGCTCTAACACTTTTATTAATTTGTCTCTACGAAAATTGTATTCTTTAATTAGAAACAGTATCTAGCTAGTAGCGACCAAGCTTATTAATTAAGAACCCTACAAAAAGATACATATATACTAGTCATGTATGTTTCCAGTTAACTAACTATATATATAAGCACCATTTGATAGCCAGACTCTATATGACCAATCTGTGGTTCGTATGGTGTGCTGCACGACTGTTTGAACCAATTAAATACAGCTACTCTGCTTGATAACAACTAAAGAATTTATGTTTGATTTTGAAAAAAAAAGGTACTATCAACAGCCATTAATTTTATAAAAATATATACCTGCAAAATAGGAGTAAGTATGAAAACAAAAGGTACAAAAATATGTGTAGAAAAAGGTAGAAAAATTATGATAACTAAATACACTCAGTTAAACCTACTCACCCGAGGTGTTCGATCAAGCCCTACATATTACTGCAACTAATAATTCTTTTTAGTGGTACGTGGTACCTTTGTCAATTTTATATGTCGATCTTTCGAAAAGTGCTATACAGTAGGTTATGTGTTTTGAGAAAGAAAACGTAGTAATTGCATGTGTGTTTTTGCTCGTTCAGTAAGAAATCTGCCTTTAATTTGTGCTAGCTTATGCTAGCTGGCCGATGTGATGTTACGTGTGCATGATGCTTGCATTGCTGTTGGCAACTGTGTGTACACGTATGTGTCAAGAATGGTTAAAGAAAATGGATGGATGCCACCAAATATGTCATGATCCTATCATTGACTTATGTCATATTCGGTTAATTTAGTTTATACTAGGGCAAATCTTTTGGGTCAAACAGTACTTTGCCTTTGGCCTTTTTGGAGATTTTGCATGCGTTTTTCTGCTCTAATTAACCAAACTATACGTTAAATTGTTTAGGAGAAAATCAAGCTTGCGTATGAAAAATTCTGCAAAATCTCCGGAAGAATATATGAGATAATAATTAGCCCTAGAACAATGTCACATCCCTTTGGCCACAAAATATATACGTCAGTAATTAATTTTAGAACTTGTGCAATCAATAGATATTAATTACTCCCTCCGTTCGAAATTGATCTACATATAGTTTTTTTAGGTTATTCCTAAATAATCTACATATTTATGTTCATTCATTAAGTCTATTTGCTATTTATGCATTGGATTATGCATTGGAGTAAATAGACATTGATGCATACATCCATGCACACAAGTATTTATAACCCACATGCAATATCTTAATTTGCTATTGGCTAGGAAATAGCGGGGATGGTGCATGCATCGAGTTTGTTGCTAGAGTAAATATAATATGAGATAATTATTAGTTTTTCTTAATCTTGGTGTACTTATGAAATATGTAGATCAATTTGGAATGGAGGGAGTAACTTTGACAAAAAAAAATATTCTAAAGTGTATATATTTTTGGACATATGGAACGATACACGAGTAATTAAAATTTTTTTTGTTCATATATATGTTTATAATAATATTACATGTTTATACATATTTTTGAATATATAATATACATATCATGATACACAGTTGAGTGATCAAAATAGGTCCGATATATTGATTTTGAAAAGTCAAAATCAGATTTTTTTTTCTAGAGGTTGTAGATGTGATATATATATCCAATGACTACAGATGACGTATGCATTGATCACAAAATCAACAAAATTTAAAGAAACACACATATATATAGCTAGGAATCACACAAAGATATTCACAAATTAAATTTAGATAGTCATCATCAGCAAAAAGCCTTTTTCATATAATATTGTCAGCAAATACTTAGTAGTTAGTCAGTTATGGTTAGGTAAAAATGTACAGCTATGCTGCTGCCTGCTGATGTGCTAAAATCAACTAAAAGTGATACTGACGAAAGAATGCAATCAATAATGTTGATCCTTTCTCCGCTATTTATTTATTGAGCATGGATAAAAGATGGTCCGTGCTTTCGATATGCAATTTATGATATCTAAGCAGATGATTTATTACTGAGAGTCATGCTATTTATGTGCTATAAATTCAAGAACCAAGACACACATGAATAAAATCATTTCCTTAGTTTGAAGTCTGAACTCCATTTGGTAAGGACATGTCTAATAAATTATTACTGTTATTAAGTTCCTAGCCATAAAATGGTATATATGCAGAAACAATGAATTTAATGGGGCACAATAATTAAATTGAAGTGTGAGCTAGGATAACTTCAGATTTACACAAAAAAAAAGTGCTTCGATTTGTAGTTAACTTTGTTTCTCTAAATACTACTCCTAATAAGAACAACTTTGGGAGAAAGGTTGGTACGACTGGTAGACTATAAGTGGTCAACCTAAAGAACTTTCCATGAATGGCACTGTCTTTTCGCTCTTCCTTTGATCCAACTAGTATGCAATTAAACAAAGCGGCCGTAATGCAAGAAGAATGAAGGAACCATTAACAAATCCTATGTATGTGTTAAATATGGAATGCAGTTCAACCAACAAATTAAGAATTCATGCATTCAAAGATCCCAATGCAAAATCAAGATAGAGAAATCAAAGTCTTCAAAAAAAAAAGATAGAGGAATCATATATCCAAAATGGAGTAAAAATGGAGTAAAAATGGTCCGTGTGTGTGAGAGAGAGAGAGAGAGAGAGATTCATATATCCAAAATGGAGTAAAAATAAATAATGGTCATCTTCAGAGAGATGAGAGGCAGCAGAGAACAAGCTAAGTGAGAGATTTAAGGATTGCAGGGTGTGCCACCAAAAGGGGGTACTTGGGCTTGAGAAATCCCATGATTTTGTTAGAGGGGACAGGGGGCAGGAATTAGGGTTGCCATTGATGCATGGGATCATGCCATTTCCTCCATGCTCTCCCAAGGACAGCTTCCCAGCATATCTGGGGCATAGACACACTGACACAGGACAAGAACACAATAAAATTCTCCTTAATTAGGCAGCAGGAGACATGATTCTACTATTTTTTGTTCTCTTAATGCAGCAGCTATAGCTTAGCTAGCACACATTTGAGAATTATACTAGCTAGCTTAGCTACACAAGAGTGGTATAAATATAGTAATTAATTACTAGCTACAGTGTGCAAGAATGCACTGGCCTTTCGCAGCACACAAGAGTGATCATTGTTCATTACCCCCCTAAGTAAAACAAAGACCAACCAAATTGCATTAGTTTATAGCTAGTGGTGGCCAAAGCATGATTAGTTATAATACAAACAAGCGCATCAAACAGCAGAGAGAGGAAGTGAAATGCAAGGATAAAATTTAAAAATGAGCCCAATCCATTGAGCCACAATAGGGAGATCATCTTCATTATTTGAGATCAAAGAAACCAATTGTATATGCAACATGACCTAATTTTGCAAGAGCGTGCATGCATGCACAAACCCTTTTAACATAGTAATTAACACAGATCTAGAAATCTAGATATTATGTAGTAGTAGTAGTGTCAAAACCAACAATCTATAACAACTCCACCAATATCAGATTTGGGTATCAAAGCTAAACAAAAGTAGGAGTAACTAAAGGAAAAAAAAATCAAGATTTGCCAAGCAAAAAAAAAATGAAAAGAATTTGGTGCTAGAGCTAGTGGTAGAAGGAAGCTGGCTCACCAAGTTGAATGCCCAAAAGATCCTCTTTTTCTTCTCCCAACAATGGCGCCTTCTCATGCAACGTGTCCATCACAAATCCAAGCTCGAGTTGCCATGAAAAATGGCAGGTAGCTTAGCTTAGCTAGCTAGGATCATTGCTTGATCCCTAGCTAGAATGCTAGATCATCGATACATGAAGCACTGAGACTATGATCAGTTCATCCTTCGTAAGATCCAATCTTTTTTTTGCCAATGCGATCGATGGATGGAGTGGGGTACCTTTAGCTTGAGAGCAAGCTAGACGCCATTGATGGAGCTCTCGAGGTCGAACCGTCGAACACCATGGTTGATCACTTGTGAGCTTGGCCATTGCTATGGCTGCGGCTGCCACGACGACACCGACATGAGCGGCCGCTGCTGCCACCGGAGGAAGCAGGCGCCGCGGCCGCCGTCGTCGTCGGCCTTGTACCCCTCCGACGGGTAGTGCAGCCGCAGCAGCAGCCGCGCCTGCGACGCAGCGAACGCGCTCAGCGGTCGCGGCGCGAGGCCCGCGGCGCGCGCGGCGGACGCCCACGCGTCGAAGTCGCGAGCGCGCCCGCCGCCGCCGGCGCCGGGCGCCGCCACCGCCGCGTCGATCTCCCGGCTGAGGATCTCCTGCTCCACCGCCAGCCGGTCCGCGCTCGCCGGCGGCACCGTGGCCTCCAGCGCGTCGAACACCGACGAGTAGTAGTCCATCGCCGCCGCCACCCGCCGCGGCAGCTCGTCCGGGACGTTGTCGTCGTCGACGTCACCTCCGAGGACTCCTTCTCTCTCGGCGATGGTCACCACGGCGGGGTTCATGGACTTGACCCACCTGAGGAAGGCGGCGAGCTCACCGTCGCCGCCGAGCTTGTGAAGGAACAGCACGCAGTTGACGGCCAGCGTCTCGTCCGGGTGCAACTCCAGGGCGGCGGTCGGGTCGGCGGCGAGCTCGGCGGTGCAGGGGAGTATGAGGGGGTGGAAGCGGAAGGGGAGGTTGAGGGAGCTCGAGAAGGCGCGGAGGCGGTCGCCGGTGCGGAGGAGCACGTCGCGGTCGGTGCCGGCGCCGGTGAGCCTCACCTCGGGCGGCGGGCCGACGGCGGGGTCGGCGCGGTCGGCGATGGCCTGCAGGAGCGGCGGCCACTGCACGCCGTGCGCCGCGTCGAGGTCGACGATGTGCAGCACGCGCCGGTGCGCGCCGCCGGCGTCCGCCGCCGCCGCCTCCAGGATCGCCTGGTTCGCCGTCAGGTGCGCGAACCGCAGGAACGGCGCGATCTTGATGTACGCCAGGTACGCCGCCGACGACGGCACCACGCCACCGCCGCCGCCGCCATGACCACCCTTGCCTCCTCCGCGGAGAGCGAGGAGCGCGCGGGCGAAGTGGTGGGCGAGGCGGTCGCCAGCCTCGCCGCGTGGGTCGGCGGCGGCGAGCACGGCTTCGGCGACGCGGCGCGCCCCGTCGAGGTCCCCCCGGTGGACGAGGTCGGCGCACGCGAGCACGAGCCCCCTCGCCTCGCCGCCCCCCGCGCGCGGCGACAATGGCGGCTGCGGCTGCGGCTGCGGCTGCTCGGAGGCCTCGGCGTCGTCGCCGCCGCCTCGATCGCGAGCTGGTGATGAGCCGAGCATGTCGTGGGCGTCAGCGTGGGCGGCATCCGGACATGGCGGATCATCGTCTGCTCTGCCACAGAGTAGCATCAAACGCACGCACGCACATGCCTAAGCCTAGCTTAGCTAGTAGCCTAGTAGGAGCAGCTTCTTTCTTCTTCTTCTTCTTCTTCTTCTTCTTCTTCTTCTTCTTCTAAGAACAGCAGTAGAAGATGCAGCAGCTAGTACTAGCTAGAACCAGATGAGAGAGAGAGAGAGGAGAAGGGTAGATGAAGAACAAGTGTGTTTCTCTCTCTAAAGCTTGGAGAAGAGAGGAGGAGAGGAGGGTGGCAAAGTGAGCATAAACTTTGCAATTTGGTGGCTTTTATCCAGTGGACTTAATTTGGTGGGGGGGAATGGTCAAGAAGGGTCCATCCTTTTTGTGTGAAAGAGAGATTTATTTACTTGCATGAGTATCTGTCTATATCTAGCTAAGGGCTCCTTTGGAAGTATTTTAAAGGAATTTTAAAAGCTCTCAATCTTATGAAAAAAATTCCTATATGTTTCTTGAGATAAAAGTAATGACCTTATAAAAATTTTATGTTTTTTCTTAATCGGCTCAAAACATAAGAATTTTAGAGAAATTTTAACGTAAGGTTTTTTTTCCATCTCTCTTAAGCTCCATGTAAACAGTCGTTTTTACAGATTTCCTGTATTTTTTCAATCCATATGATTTAAAGTGTTAGGGTGCTCCAAAATATATTTTTCCTGATACAGTGTTTTTGAAAAACCTGTGGTCCAAAGTAACCCTAAAATTCTGAATTACACCCCCTTCAGGCAATTAATTTTGTTGCTAAGTTTTATTTCCCTGACAAAATTCTATCACATAAACAGTGTTCAAAATTTTTGGTTCTATGAAGACACATGCAAAACTAGCACATCCTGACGATTTCTACTGAAATATATCCATGTCAGTGTACGCAGAATAGATGAAGTTATGCATGCAAGCTCACCATGAACGGTGAGCGTATAAGCATATATATATATGGACGGATCTATTGACTATTGTACCTAGCAGGGCTAGTGTTAGAGCAAGGATAATAGTAGGCTATAAGCAAGCTATATGCTTATGTGGAAGAGAGATAAATAAAAGTGGGGAGTGTTGGCTCTCATGCAAGAGCTAACTGCACACAAACTCTAAGAAATATGCATTAAATTCATGGTGAGAGAAAGAGAGAGGATGAAGAAAATAAAGATAACCTTATAGCCAACCTACTGTACATGTTAACTTTAACATTGACTAATATAACATTGACTAATAGTAAGTAGTGAGCTCTACTATTAAACTTGCTCTTATTCAGAATATGTACATAATTAACCCTAGAGCTACCCTGATAAACTGCTAATTTGTAGAAAATTAACACCATGATGTAAGTATGACCAACACGTTATGACACCGATAAACACCGGTGACTTTTCTGGTTGTTTCGTTAATTTTGTGGCACAAAGTATCCCATGTGATTATAGCCATAGTTATTATTGATAACACGTACTAGTAAAAAACCAAAAGTTTTTCAAACACCTTGACAAGTTGGTCGTGTGTCTTTAGCTGATGACAGGAGACTTGAACAGTTTGAGCTCCATTAACTACACCCCAAGTATGTTTATGCTAGAATTAATATTTATCCCCTGATTAGTTGTTTATGGCTTCTCTTAACTATGATCATGGTAACTAGCTGCACCCTTGGGCCTCAATTAGGGTCTAATAATATAAAAGGCGTCTACAAGGCTGCAACCAACAAAAGATGAGATGTATCAACGGATCATGGTATAGAGTATAGACGCATGCATATGGCCATAAGATCCTTAGTAAGTCTATCATTTAGACTAAATGGAGTAGCTAGCAACAAGTCTACAATGCATATATTGTCTAGCCAAGTACGGATGTTCAATTTCATATATACAAAGGAGGTAGCCGAGGATTATATAATGAACTAACCTAATTTACAGCTTTTGGGCACCGTTTGGATGGCAGGAATTGAAATGTCTTTAAATTTTGAAGATTGCAATGAAATTCCTACGACACAAATTGTTCTAAACTTTCATGTATTTTCGTACGTTTTTCCACATTTACCCTGCAAAAAAATAAATGTTGCTATTACACAAACAAATAGTCCATCCTTTTCAATAAGATATATATAGATGCATGATAAGATCATAAAACAATTAGATAATTTGAGCTTCTCCATTTTGCAAGAGGAGTATTCCATTAATTTTGATACTACCCGTTCTTATTAATTTCTTTTCCCCTTACGAATTATGGATTAGCAGGGGCATATTATACCCAAACACTTGAAGAGTAATGGACTAAAAAAATGAACTAACCAACTTCAAACATATAGGGAAGGAGATAGTATGATTTTTGCTGAAACTTTCTATATATATGTTCATTAGAAGACTTCTTTTAAACAACATTTCAACTTGGTAATGGTAACTCATTCGTTTGAACACCCTTAAATGTTATCACAAAATCAGATAATCCATCCTCCCAATCAGAGAGAGAGAAAAAAAAAACTAGGCTTAACCCCAGATGCAAGCTATAGGCCCATGTCTCTCTTTTTGTGTACTACGTGAGTGTGAGGGCACACGCAAAGCTTAGCGACGACAGGGACCAGACAGCCCCAACTTGTACAATCATCTGTCTCTCCTCATGTCCCGTTCTGCATCTGCATGCAATGGCATCTCTCATCTCTCTCCCTCTCATATATACTCTTCCTACCCCTGCCTACCTCCCCCTCATCTAATCCCAGCCGTCCATTTTTCGATCCAATGAAAGATAGACAAACATAGATGAGCCATTGAGCACTCACATCAGACAGGAGTACTATCAGCTAGTAGTACTATAGGGGTATAGAGAGCAATGCAAAATGGAATAAAGTTGCAGAGGGAGGAGGAAGAAGACGAACCAGGAAGCTGCTTGGCTGCTGATCGATCGATGGAATGTATCAGCTCGGCTCTATCATCATCATCATCGCCGCCTCCTCTAATAACTGTGTAGTCCTTGCAGCTATGTACTGTCCTCCTGTATGCATGCACTGCACACCACCGTATCGATCGATCAAAGTCTCAAGCTTCTTTTTTTATGCTAGCATATGAGCATAGTATATCCTTGCTTGCTTCCACTCGCACTGCCCCTGCTTCACAAAAAAGGTTTTGCATGCACAGCTGTTACTTGTTGTCATGCATGCATGCATCATATTTTAACTTGTTGTCATGCTAGGCATCTACTGCTAGCTAATTGTTGTCTACTCTTGAAGTAAACAAGAGATTGAGGAAGAAAATATTATGAGATATATCAAGTTAGTTCAGCAGGCAATAATTAAGGCTTCTTTGAAACACGGGATTAGGAAAATGGAGAAATAGAAAAACACAATATTTTAATAGGAATAAAAGTGTAAAATAGAGAACTACAAAACACATAGGAAAAATAAGGAACGACCGTTTGGTTAGACCACGTGAAAGATGCATGAACTTCGAGGAGAGATAAAGACAAATAAAAATTTCCATGAGGTTGAACCTCATTTTAAAATTCCTCCAAAACTTATATGGATTGAGACATTCCATAGGAATTACATACGTTTCAATATTGTTTCTAATCATTTGTTTCAAAGGGCCATATATGGGAAAAAATCTTATACAATTGGAATCCTACAAAAATTTCTATGTTTTTCCTTCACATCAAAGAGGCCCTATTAATTTCATCATAGAAACAGTTCAATTTCCGCAGGACTAGGAATTTTTTTCTTCATGCTCCAAATTGGTTGGTCTGTTGAGATGAAGAACCAAAACGAAATAAAGCTAGCAGAAGAAGCAGCTAGCCAACTGTCATGTGTATGGATAAATGCATCTCTCTTGCAACATATTATGTCAAGTGTGTGCATGCATGCATGCATGTGCCCTTAATTCTTTTACCTCTCGATGATAGGAGTAGATCAACTTCTGTGATTTTGATGTGTTCTAAAGTCCACACAACTAATCCTTGAAGTCCTATCACAATTCACAATATTTGCTGTCTCTCAGACCCCTGCACTTGGCCTTCAATTCTTCAACGATACATACCTTGTAGCATGCAGCAATATGTCCAGTCATCCAGAAAGAGAGAAGACTCTTGAGTAGAGTTCAAGGAAGGAAAAAGCCCAAAGCTAAGCTAGGAGAGGAGAGCACACTCAAAAAGACAGCATGCATGCATATGGGACCCGGGATGTGCATGGTGTCATAATGACAAAGGTTAGTTGGATAACAAAAGGATTATCCAGAACAGGCATGCATGAGAACATTTAAAGTATTATAGACAGATAGGCATGCATATATAGCTTGTTTCTTGTTCTAACCTTATGACCTTTTGTAATGGCTTGAATTAATCTCTTCTAGCTCTGATATCTCTTCCAATCCAGCCAGTGGATTAAACCACACATATTGGTGCATCAGCTCCAAATGTTATCTAGGTTCTGTCAGATTTGACATGTTGTTAAAAACTGCATTAGAAGGATATGATAGAGATAGTTAAAGATTCAAGAAGTGGAAGTCAAGTTACCTTAGCTATAAATATATGCCATAACTTTCAATTGATATCTTTGACGATCTGGATTTGACATCTCTGTGCATGCAGATGCCAAAACCTCCAATTTCACTACAGCTCGATCCAATCAGAGCTAAAGATATCATGCAAAAGTCAAAAACACACATATTTCTGATCATACCCAAGTCACTGTAGTCAACACAAGATAGAGGGAACTTATGCATGCATTATCTGATTATGTTATCTAAAGAAATGTAATTAGCAAATAAAAGAGAGATACTGAGAAGGAAAAGAGAAGGGAAAGGGGTTAACTATGCCAAAGTTTATTCTTCTTCAGATTTTAGAAGAGCTCAAGGAGGAAAAGTTCCTCTCAAGTACTCCAAAAGTGTGCTTTTGCCTTGTTCCTTTTATTATCTTGGTCCTCTCTTGGACCTTCTCCACTGTCAAACGTAGGACCACCTGTGGTCCTGTAATTATTGACAGGTTAATAGTTCCTCCTTATGTTAAGAACAAGTTTAGTACAATTGCACAGGAGATAAGAGAGATAAAATAAATGCATGCAATGTCTGTAGCTACAGCAAGTCTAAATCTTCTCCTTTTTTTTTAGTTTTTTCTGCTCTAAACAAAACTCTAATAATACTCAACATAAAATTGGGAGTTCATTTGACAAAGACAAACTTTCTGCTACAATTAGCAAAGAGAATTTCCTCTTACATATCATCAGCTAGCAGTAAGGGAAATAGTAACACATGAACAACAGGTGGTACTGATAAAATTCAAACAAAAACTAGTGCGATGGATCTGACCAATCAGCTAGAACTTTCATGCAAAAAGCTGTCTAATTGCAAGGGATGGATCATGGAAGGAGAGTATAGGTGCCAGATAGTATAAAATTCTCTAACAAGTGCAGGTCATGTCAAATCTGTAAAATCATATTACAGACAGCCCATGCAATTTGGTACAATGTGGCCAGGTAGAGGTGACAACCGATTGATTGTTGTCTCTGAGTTGCAATTATTAGTCTTTTTTTCCATGTCTATCTATACCCGTGGCCTTTCTTTACTACTCCTACCTTCGTTCATCCTTCTATTCCTTCCCTTCTGTTCTAGCCTGTAAAGACATCTTGGTTGTACCAACAATACCAAGTTCACAAAAAGTAAAAAATAGAATCAACAATCAAATCTGTTATAGATGGAAAGACCACAACTTATATTAATACAAAGGAATTTCTGGGGTTAAAAGTTCCAGGGAAATCTAAGGCTTATTTCGAACAACTAATGTTGCCAAAAAAGAAAGAACAAAATGATTCATACAGAAACAGGAAACATAATGTGTATCAAGACTCAAGAGGCCTCTAAAAGGTTGGTACTCTACTGTTTACATTAGTTTTCACTACTAGAGCATGCATATCTAAAAACTTTAATCCAAAGGAGATGCTAGCATAAGCAGCAATGCAGCACATTGGTGGATACAAATTGTCGGCTGAGACTGTCCAAATGTTTTTATATGTGTACAAAGTCAACTAACTTTTGCAGTTTTGAAGACAAAAACTAAAGCAGCCCAAGATCTTACTCTCTAAACTAATCATAAACAAATAGCCCATGAATAAGCTTCTCCTGAACTTGTCGGCCTATTTTCTGCTAGTAAAGACGATCTGGAATCAGCTTTAAGACTTATCAAAGAATGTTCTGCTGATCAAACATTTTCATATCGTCTCCAAATTGAAGCAAACGTTTTAGTAGTACAATTTTCCAACAGGATTGCCAAACAGGGGAACATGATTAGGGCTGGGTCATATCATATGGCCCACAGAGCATAGCTCAATGAGAATGTGGGACAGTCTTTCTGTTCTACATCTTCTCCTTAAGCACAAAGAATTGCTTTAAAAAAAAGATAGATCAGCAAGTGTTCCAAGATGTACAAAAGGTGTGTTTTAAGTTCATAGAACATGCATGATGCATCTAGAGAACATTGCAAACAAACTGAGCAAAGATCAATGCATTGCAAACAATACATTGTAAGGAAAGAATAAGAACTGAAATAACAGTAGACGCGAAATAAGCATTTATTTTCAGAAAAACAACGTGATACCTAATGCGCGTAGTAGATAAAGACCGTATTTGTACATCCAACAGAGTGAAATTGAGATTTGGACCAACAGTTGGCTGTGTAGAGTTGGCAGATATTATATGCTAAGTGGCTTAGGTGGAAGTGGAACACCAAAAGACAATGACCTGTGTAAGATTAGATTGCAACTAACTAGGGGCACCTATACAGTAATCAACAGAATATGCTATATGATTAAGCCCAGGCCACCCATCACTGCTAAAAGCACAAGAAGTTGGAATTTATGCAAGAAATGGACTAGCAGATTGTTAAAGTACATCCCTACCTGTAGCCACCATCTATCTAAATGTGCATAGAGAAGATAAAAACATCATAAACAATACTTAAAATGGTCCCAGGAGAATAGGAAGGCTATGGCTATGAAAACGTTCAAACAACAGAATCTATCCTTTCCTCCAGCCCCACAAGCAAAAGGGGTTGTAGTGCTGTACATACTGCATACATTGAACTCCTGAGCAAAGCACTAAGCTTTATACCTTCAACTTGTTCTTTTTTCCATCCACTAACTGCATAATTTATCAACCCCTATATGCTATTAGTGACCAAAGCAAAAAATCGCAAAGATGCTCAACCAAACAACCAATTAGGGTTTTGGTAACTTCCTTCCATAGATTCCCCTATCCCCCTAAACCTTTTCTCAATTAGTTAATCTTTTCGGTCCTCATTGTAAACGTATCAATCATTCTTGAACTTTTTATATTCTGTGCCCGATCTTGATGTGCTCACCTTGGGGATAATTTACAGAAAAGGTTAGCATGTTTAATAGGAATTATCTTGTGGCCCAATGCAAGTAGATCATGCTCAGGATGCTCTGCATCAAGCTGATTGCGACATTAAACTTTGTGGGGTTCACTAATAAAAAGCAAAAAAAGGGGGGGAAGGCTGGAAAAGAACAGCACTAACAGCATCTGGAAGGGTGGAGTGCTCATAATTAACCACCATCATCATGGATTTTATTAGAAGGCATCTTGTGATTATGTGGCTTCTAAGATACACTAAAGTAGAATCAACTAAGGTGGATTTGGCTCTATCAACAGGTGCTAAACTTCTTCCTCTAAATCTAAAGTTTTGTTCTGTAAATCCATATGGAATTTCATGCCAGTTTGACGGTAGAGGACAAAGATTATGACAAAAAAAGGCATCTGGAATTGTATAGTCAAACAAATAACATACATGCCAGATTATCTGATGGTCAATTAAATTCATGATGTTGACGCTTGGTAGAATAAACCAGTATCATGTGACATAAAGTATTTTTCAGGATTATTGATGGCAAGAGAAGAATGATGGGTTCTTGCATCACAATTCAGCAACCGCATTCTTTAGTGGGCTCTGCGCGTGGAAGATACCTCGCATTTTTGACGTTTCATACTTAGTATAAGGTGGCACCTAGTTGATCATTAGGTCTACAATATAGCATATATTAAGTTAACACTTGCCTTTCAGTTAAAGTTAAAAACGGAGGCATCAAAGAAAAGCAAAAGACAACAAGAGTTCCAAGTCTTCTCTCAGTGATTAATAAAGAAGTGCTATGTGAAATTCCTCTGCATTCTGCTGAGAGATTAAAATTTAAAAGAAGCAGGGAATGTTAGCAACGATTCTGTCTTGTCTAACCATTACCAAGCCCCAGTATTTTCTCCTGTAGTATTACCTAAGTTTTGATATGGTAAAAGAAAATTTAGTGATGTAAATCTTGATATGGCAAAAGCAAATAATGTGATATCACTATAAGCATTTAGCAGATTCCATAAATCATATTTTGTGCTGCGCCTCTGCGGGCAGCACCCCAGCCATCTATCTACCTCCATAGATGTACACCCACTAATTTCCTTCAAGATGCTTCTCAATTTTGACAAAACTGAATATAGAAGCAATCAATCAATGCCTATCTTACCAAAAAGTACACAAGAAAAAGAATATAACAACATGAGCCTTCTTTTTAGATCCACTGACCCTCTAATCGAATTTTAATTCGAGTATAAAATCAAATTCATCTGCTTAAAAGTCATAAAGGTGGTATACATCAATGCAACTTGATGTCATAAGCTTTTAGGTGAAAACATGATGTCTGCAAGAAATAAAAACATATAAAGAATGTTTACATGTGTATCTGTTGAGACTTTTTAAATTGTTAGTCATTAATTTCTGATGTTTTCTTCCATAACTGCTGACAAAGTGACAGTTATTTTTAAATGTATTTACTTATACTCTTCCTTGTAACTTCTATAACTCGCAGAAACATTGGTTTCTATCCTATGGAAGCAGGAGCATATTTTGCTTCTCTTCTGTTACAAGTTTTACTAAATGCAACGAAACATCAATATTCAGAAGACTGAAAATTATGCTGAGAATTAATCTGCCACATGGGGTATAATATCAATATGCAACCATAAATAAAGGATTGGGAAAAAGAAAAGGGACTTGCACAAAAACAATGGCTTACTGCCTCAACAAAAACATCAAACTTAATGTTTCAATTAAAACAGGAGAAAATAGAAGCTGCATGTTCAATGCATCATCTAATAATTTGTTTTTTTACTATTACCTTAGAATCACATGGTTATAGTAAGCATTTTTTTTTATAGATGAGGCCACATTGATAACTTCCAGTCCCGATGAACTGGTTCACTATGAAGGTAAGTTCTCAGCTGTGCCCAGTAGAATAAATCTAAGCAATAACAATGTGATAAATTGAATTCTGTTTTCAGGTTCATGTCTAATACTACCTACCACTCACCAAAAGAATAACTGCCTAAAGAAAAGCAACGCAACTAAAATAATTAACAGACTCATTTCTAGCCACTGAGGCCGTAAAAGCTATCGATGCTATTATTCTTCAATCTGTGAACATCACAACAAATTAGATAACTATTATCACTGTATCTGCATCAAATAAAAAATAGATACCACAAAACTAAACTATGTCCATGAGAAACTTATTTCTTAAGTAGTCCATGGAATCATTTACAGCAATTTGATGGACTGAATTTTGCAAAAAAATTATACTATATGAATCTTCAATTAGTGCACTGATGGAATTATCCATGAACACTCATACTTCACTGTTGTCATCTGAATGACTGAACATGGTTGTGCACAGCTATAGATGTTTTTCTTACATGACGTTTCATTCACATGGAACATTCGTGAAGAGTTTACAAGTCTAGAATGATATATATAAGAGCTCGAAGAAACCCAGCTGAGTTCAAGCTTAACAAGTGAATCTAAGAATGATTAGATATGGAACTGTTATCAATGTTCAATCAGGGTCAGAACTAAAGTCTGAGCAAAAGATTAGATCTAACGCAAACAAGTGAAAGGAAAAGCTAAACTACCGTTGCCACATAGCACTGCATCATTCGATTCTCATCTTGTTTGAACTTTGAAATCTGAAATGCACATAACTAAATATGCAAATATACAAACTTTAAATACCATTTGCAGGCCAGACTGATTCATTTATCCAAAAAGGATATCCTAATCAGTAACCACTAAAACTATGCTTAAGAGAATCAGAAGGAGAGCAAAACTGATGACAATCTACATATGATGGACATAGGATTTTTTTTCAAGTTCAATGATCCGGTCTAACCTCTGAGTAAGAGCCTGCTAAGTTCAGAATTGACAATGCTGGTCCAGAAACTTAAAAGTTGAGCGAGAGAAGGGGGCATATGTATGGGCACAAGAATATGATTAAGTGGTTGCAAGAACTAATTTTCCCACTCACCCTCCAAAGATATTCTTTAAAGTTGTCTGTCACAGTTTACCTTCCCAACTATATGAAGAATAATAAACTGGATGGAGAATAAAAAATCAGCATGGCAGGCATACCACCTGATCACTATCAACCGGAATTACCTACACAACAAGTTTCTGCTTATCTTGCCCATATCCAGGAGTACATCATATAAATCTTTACATGGATCTAAATTGATTAAAAAAAACATAACCAAGGTTCAGGAGAGAACTTTGCAGTGCTGCGAATGGCCAATAAAATGAAACCTAAGTTACTAATAAACCAATTAAAGTAAGGAGCCAAAATTACTAAAAGAAAAGAGAACAAACAGATGACATTCATTTCGGCCATCATTTCTGGCTCCCATATCGCAAATTGTAATCCAGTTATCGCAATGACAAAGGGGGCAATTACTAGTACATTATTATTGCGAAAATTTCATGAAACAAGAAACAAGGTAAGCAAAAATATAACTCGTTTCGAGCTCGAACAGAGAGGCCGTCTCTACACAGGCCGGGATCACCTCTCCAGCACACAGCGAAGTCACACGTCCTCTCCGGCGCCGGCGCCGTCGAGGGCCTTGAGCCCCTCGGCCACCGCCCGCGCGCGGTTCTGCGCCTGCCTCTCCACCGCCACGTAGTACAGGCCTGCACACGCGGCGACGCCGCCGGATCAAACCACTGCGATTAGGCGGCGGCGGCGGCGGCGGAATACGCTACTAGGGGTCTAGGGTTTCAGGTCGGGGTGCTTACTCACGGCGCTGCCGATGGCGCAGAGCCAGAGGACGCGCTGCGACCACCTCTCCCCCACCACGCCTCGCCCCCCGAGCCCCATCCCGCCGCCGCCGCCGCCGCTGCCGCCGACGATTGATCGCGCGAGCTGCGCCGCCGCTCCGTTCGCCGTGCGGGCCGCAGCCTCCGAGTCCAGTGACCGACAAGTGGGACCCACCTCCCGGAAACCTATTTGGGATTGACGGTTTGTTGGGCTGGGCCCAAGAGCTGACGACAAATGGCCCAATTATAGCCCAAAGCATAATAAGCCCATTTTCGATGCGATCGAGCCTAAATGAGCCTAGATTAGGCCATTAGGGAGCAGCACGGCTTCATTAGCAATGTTGAATTAGGTCCTCTTTGGCATAGCCCGGATCCAAGATTTCTTAAAGCTAAATATTTGTAACTTCACATGTCCATGGATTTAAATCTATAATTATGTTGATAACATTTGAACAAATCATTTTGTTTCCATTTTTTGTGAAATTTAATATTTTAAACCACGGTACAAAATTCAAATCTTTTGAGCTATGCCAAACAGGACCTTACACTCAGCTTCAACCCTCCGCAGCAAAATGAAATAATTATTAGTGTATGGTTAATTAAGCATTAGATAAAATAAACTTTTAAAAATAGATTAATATGTTTTTTAAAAAAAAAAGTTGTTTTCTATATATATTTTTTTTAAAAAAAACGTACCGTTTAGCCGCATGAAACGAGCGAGTAGAAGTTGAAAAGATGTGGTAAAGAACACATCCTTACGCTCTTTGTTCACTTCAAACTCTGTGCACTTCCACATGGAATTCAATAATTCAAACAGAATGAAAATTTCACCAAGATTTTGCCGGAGGATATTGTTCACCACACAAAACTTATTACAAGGAGTTTTGAGTTTTCAAAGACCTCAAATCCCAGGGAATAGGGTAAGCTTTGGCATAGAACATAAGTACCGAGTCTACAACTACAGATGGAAGAAAATGAACTTTTCACACACAAAGATGCTCTATAAGAGGAGGTTTGAGAATGCACACTGGCACTGGCGTCTGACTAGCTTTTGCTATCTTCATTCTGTTAACTCTTTCAAGGGGAATGTGATGTCAAACTAGCTGGAAGAAACACATCTGAATTTCATGGTTCCAAGCATATCGAGTAACATCGCCTGTTTGTTTTAAAGATCGTATCCAGTAGATGGACAATGACAACCTCTCCACTGACAACGGCAAGAATCAAAGGACTTTCGGTGGTGAAGAAAACCCCAGCCTACTCAGCAACCAATAGAAGAGTATGGTCCATCCCAGCAGCAACCTGTGAAACCTCTGCTCCTTCCAGGGTATCGATGAGGAAAGGCTCAGGCTCATCCATCGAGCTTCCCAAACCTAGCCTGCCGTTTCGGCCAGATCCCCATGCCCAAACCTCTCCCTTTGATGTGAGAGCAACCGAATGAACTCGACCAGCCGAGGCCGACACTGGCCTCTCTCCATTCAGACCGTCGACTAGTGCAGGCACGTCTTCTTTGCCAGGTCGTCCAAGCTGGGAGCTGCAGTTCCATCCCCATGAGAGGACGCCGGTCTCGGCATGGTCATCGCCTTCAGTTGATATGATGCATGTTGCAAGAGAGTGGCCAACACTTGCTGACACAGAGAATGGACTGTGGCTAATGTCGACAGGAAGAAATTTGGACCATGCTGATTTCCTGCCAAGCTGTCCGTAAGTGTTGTCTCCACCGCTCAGTACGATGCCATCAGCTGAAGTAATACAGAAACACATCAGCAAGCAGTACTGTAACTTATGTTGGTAGGAATTTGAACTATGACATCCCAAAAAACCTAATGTTTTTTTCATGAGAGATGATAATTATTGCTGAAAGTTTATTGTTCAAACCAAATACTATCAATTACTACAATGGTCCAGCCAGCGCCAGGCTTTCTATGTTAATAGAGCTAAACATAACCATGTAAGAATTGTAAAAAGGGAATATATGTGATAGGATAACCAACAACAGACACTTATATTTACTATTGATATTTCTTAACCAGCGCGGCCATTTCCTAGTCTGAACTCTTACTAAGACAGACAAATGCCATATATACAAGTATGCAACAATGAACCATGGCTTACTAACAGTACTACTGCAAGATGTATGAGACAGAAAATTGTCCATAGGAAGTGCACACAAAAAAGAGGTTCAGTTTGTAGTTAAAAGAAGTAAAGAAGACTCACAGCAGAGAACCAGAGAATGATCGAGCCCACATGACACATCAGACACCTCAACATGACACACTTCATGAACAAGCGAAGGTTCCCAGATGATGGGCATATTGTCTTCACTCCTTATTTTTTCCTCAACCATCTTTTCAACGGCCTCTAGCATTGAGCTAGAGTACTTGTCAACTGTTTTTCCAAGTAATTCTTTGGCAGAAGAAGCCTGAGTAATATGGCCAATTTCTCCTAACCTTCCGTTTTCTGAATATCCCCAGCCAAGTAACCCTCCATCCTTTGTCAATGCCATAGCATGTCCCCAACCAAATGATACCTAGCATCATTCCTTCAATTAACAACTTTTTTCTCACAAGGGAGCAAACATCCGACTACTTAATTTCAGGGAGAAAGTTAGAACCTTGACAATATCATAATTAGCAAGTGCTTCCACTCTAGAAGGTACTGCAGCCTCTACAATGTCCTTTCCAAGCCCAAGTTGGCCACGCTTTGATCTCCCCCAAACCCATAAAGAGCCATCACACCCAATTGCTGCTGAAACAACCCCACAAGCAGATACAGCTCGGACTTGAACATTTTCCAATCCTCTCACTTTTTCAGGCTTGCTCCAAGTATTCCTGTCAGTCAGCAAAATGGTGCATCAGCCTCCCAAAAGAAGTTTATTTTCTCAGAATTAAAACATTTGCAAATATTTGTTAAGTAACCATGTGCAAGAAAAAAAAACTAATTGTTTCGAGCTATAGGTTAACTCATGCCATCATTGGCTTATTGTTCATTCAAATCTAGCATGGAAAACGAAAACACGATTGTTTCATACATATATTATCAGTATTGGAGGTTTGAATTCCAACCAATAAGAATCAGATATACGATATACCATGTCCTGATTTCAATCTACTCACATATCAAACTGAAACCAGCAAAGGACGCTTGTACATCTACTCACATATCAAACTGAAACCAGCAAAGGACGCATGTGCAAACGCCAGGTAGTGGGCAGGTAATTACACCCATCTTATACCACTTCTTCATTTACTCCATTGTTACTAAATAAGCACATATCATGGTTTCTGATTTGTTTGGTCCATTGTTACTAAATAAGCACAGATCATGGTTTCTGATTTGTTTGGTCTAGGAAAGCCACTTTGCTGCTGATCTGAGGCTAAACAATCCACCGCCGTGCCTTATAATGTCTCCACTCCACTATAGAATACGAGAATTTTCCTACCCCAAAGAGGATCAAACTGTTCGAACGCTGGGAATACTTGTGCGTGGATGAGAAATCGAGAATCGAGGATATGAGCTAGATCGATCATCACCTCGGGGCGTGGTGCCCGCGGCCGAGCTGACCTTCATCGTTGCGGCCCCACGCCCAGACCTCCCCTTCGGCGGAAACCGCGAGGGAGTGGTAGTGCCCGGCGGCGACGGCGGCGACGGACGTCGGGAGGGAGGGCACGGGCGTGGGGACGTAGACGTCGGCGGCCGGCGCCGGCTGCCCCGCCGCGCCGTGGCTGTTGTCCCCGAAGGCGTACACGGCCCCGACGCGCGGGAGTGGCGCGCCGTTCCCGGCGAGCTCGGAGAGGAGGCGGCGGCGGAGGAAGCCGGAGGCGGAGGCGGCCGTGCGGCGGAGAGGACGCATTTGGAACTCGAGAGAGGAGGAGGGGAATGGGTGGGTTTGTTTCATGTGGACCTCAAAAATGGGCCTTGTGGGTTGTGGCCCATGTCCAAATCATGTAATTTTGGGCCAGCCTAGTAAAGCATCTCTCAGGCCTTCATCACTATTCCAATCCAAACGGTCCACAAGATTTTATATTTCTATTTCTTTTGGAATACCAGATTTTTTTTTCTAGACAAGATTATTTTATGTGGTGCAATTAAATCTCCTCTAGTTTTCTTCCGGAAAAATTTTTTTCCTCTTTACTGTCAGGGATAAACATACTTCTAAGAAACATCTTACATAGCGTAGCATGTGGATGACAATAATTTAAAAACGGAGAAAATAAAATACACGGGACACTCCTAGTTCTACCGCCTAATAAAAGGGAGATATTTAACTATTTACCACGTTTATAAGTGTTAATTAAAAATTTATCACTGGAACTTTGAGTGACAAACTTTTAATCAACAAAAGTAGTAAATAGTTATATGCCCAACAAAAGAGAGACAAGCTAGCAAATCGATCCATGCGACCATGCGTGCAAATCAGTTGGAGCACAAATTTACATGTTACACCCACACCCTACACCCATGCATAATAATACATCGTATATACGTACGTACATACATACCCCTCTCGATCACACGCACCATCGATCGTACAAAGTTGCGTACATACATACGTACACACATATACGCATACGCACGTACATACATACATAATTAAAAACTCGTAATTAATTAAATACGTAGTTGATGGCATCTCTAATGGAACTTGAGGCTGGTGAGGATGTTGTTGTGGACGGGATCAGCGAGGTGATCAAGCAGGTTCTGCACGGGGCCAACCCCGGTGAAGAGCGCCTGGACGGAGAAGCCGAGGAAGGCGAGCATGGCGAGCCTGCCATTCTTGATCTCCTTGAGCTTGAGCTCCTTCATCTCCGCCTCGCTCTTGGTCCCGAAGCCGAGCGGGTTGAAGAGCGGGCCGCCGGGGTAGGCCGGCTCGCCGGAGCCGGCGAGGTACTTCTCGAGGCCGAGGAAGTACTGCTTCCCCATGGAGCCCGGCGTGTACCAGTCCTGGAAGCGGCGGTGCTCGGCGAAGCCGACGAGGGCGAGCTCGAAGACGAAGAGAGTGTAAGGGTCGGCCCAGTAGGTGTAGGTGCCCGCGGGGGGGATCACGCCGGTCTGGAACCACGGGATCGCCGTCTCGGCGGGGACGAGGCCCAGCTTGCCGAGGAGCTCCGGGGCGACCATGCCGACGACGCCCATCATCGCCGTCCGGCCGTTGAACACCTCGCCGTAGGCCAGCCACCGTGGCTCGATGAACCCACCGGTCCCCTCCGGGTCCGATAGCCCCAGCGGGTCGAACCCGAAGTCTCCCGGAAGCCTGCATCCATCCATGATTCCATGCACGCACGATCAATATTATGGAAGCCATGGCATATTTACAAACGAGATATAATTTGTGAATAAAAACTTTAGAAGCAAAGGCTGAAAAATAAACTTCGATAAAAAAAACATGAAAATTAGCTCTAAATTTAAGATTAAAAATTTAAAGTTTCGCTGATAAGGATAAGCATAAACGAAAAGATGAGGTCCGTAGACGATAAATCATGCGGTTATGTGCCACAGGTCATCTTTGACCATAAAAGTAAAGGTTCTCTGAAATTTACTCTTTATTTATTTATTTATTTGGAAGGTCTATTGATTATTGTTTCCTATGAAAAGTTTGATCATTTTGATTGTACTACTGTACTATGAAATTCAGTTGGATACGGCTAGTTCCTACCATCTTAATTAAGCTCCTTTTTTTTTTTTTGAAACGCATGAATTTTACGGTTGATTCCTATAAAAATTCTTCGAAAATCGTTTCAAATGAGGCCTTAACGCCTCTTTTATTGCAACATGAATAAATTTTACCACATGAAAACTTACGTGCCATCCAGGTAGCTCAGGGACTGCTTGGATGCGAACCACAGCTGCCTGTCAGCACCTTGCTGAAACCAAACCAAACCAAACATAAATTTAACCAGATCAGCATAATATCTTTCAATTTTGAATTGAGGAAGAGTAGAAATCAATCAGCATATATACCTTGGCAGGGGGAGTGGCCTCTGCCCTGACCATGAAGGGTGCCTTCCTGGAGGAAGAAGACCTGGAGACTGAAGATTGCAATGGCCTCCCCAGCAGCTGCCTCCCAGAGAGAAGAGCCTGAGCCGCCATTGTTGTCTCTCTCCAAGCTCAAGCTCCTCCTCCTCTTCCCAAGCTAGCAGTGGTGAGCTGAAATGTGTGCTCCAAATTAAACTTGGTGAGTGCTAGAAAAGGGGGATGAGGGGAACACAAGGTTGCAGGGGTGCTGTGCTTGTGGCCATGGAAAAGGGGTGGGCCCGGGGAAATCTAATTCTGGTGTGAGGTGGCATCTTAGCAGATGAGGGCATCAGTGGACCCAGTAGGAGTGTGCCACGTGGCAGGGGGGCAGGTGAGATAAGGGAGCTGCCTCTCAGTGGCTTACCAGCTGCCAGCACAGCATGCAGCTGAGGTTTGCATTTCCTGCATCTGTGCATGGTGTGTTCTTGGATTGTTGGCATTTGCTGAGATTTTTTTGTTTAGGCTTTGTGGATAGCACAGATTGGTGTTGTTTCTATCCTGCATTTGTGATGGAACTAGTGCCAGTTATTCAGCCAAAAAAATTGACAAAATGATATGACATGAGATATTAATCAATCTTAAAACCAAAAAAAGAAAAGAAAAAAGGAAACAATATATCATGGAGTCATGGTTGGTCATCAGGTCATGTAGGAAGTAAACAGTGTAAAACTACTATTCATTGAAAAACACAATATCTTGGCAGTTTGTACATTTTGTGCATCAAGTACAACAGTGAGAGATGAGAGCGAATTTCACAGGGTGAAAAACAAGACAATCTCGGTACACGTGTTCGGTTTGAGAGTTTTTACCACTGAACTGCACATATGTAGTTTTACATTCTGACGAAAACAAACTAACATTCATTCTACGAGTAGCCCATTTCGATTCTCTATCAGAAAGGAAGGAAGCACAATGCCGATAGCTGCCAAGACTTGCGTGAAATTTGGTCAGTTCCAGAAGCGTCCCCTTCACATAAAAATGGGTCTTCTGTAAACAAGTACTACCTCGCTCTCAGACTCAGTATCATTTACCTGGTAGATAAAAAGGGTTGGTATCAATCATTCAAGCTAAGCGCTATGTACAAATGAAGAGCCAAAAAATGCTACTCCCTCCGTTTCACAATGTAAGTCATTCTAGCCTTTTCCACATTCATATTGATGTTAATGAGTTTAGATAGATACATATGTCTAGATACATCAATATGAATGTGGAAAATGCTAGAATGACTTACATTGTGAAACGGAGGAAGTACTTTTATGAGGATTTAACTGATAGTTAAATACATCGAAACTGTAGTGGAAAATAACCAAGAGTGAAATGCCTCCTACAAAATGGTATTAGAATTAAGAACTTCCAATGCAGCCATATTACGGCAAACATAGCCTACGGAAATGCTGCGGACAAAACATTTGTCATTCAGAACATGAGAGTTAAACACCTTCTACGGAGTATATGTCTATTTATCGAACAAGGCCAGCAGAAATATAGCGACTAAAACATGAGCCACTGAGAATATTTACATCATGTTTTCTTCTGCAAGCATTTTACAAAACAAAAGCCAAATGCTACATAACATTTTGCGATAGCTGAAGTCATTTCAGTAAGGGGCTAACGGCAGAAAATTTTCTACTCTATACAGTGCCAAACTGCCAATATGAAAAAAAAAAGACTTACCATAATTTTGATATTTACGTGAGAACCGATATAAAGCTTTCACAATGGTACCATATTTCATTGATTCCAGTGGACCCACGTACCTATACAATAGAAATTTAGATATTTCCAATTGTGAAATAAAATAAGCATATTATTAATAAGTAATGTGTGATGATAAACATAAGAAAGATAGCAACACCGTCAACCATAAGGTGGAAAATTTTGCATGTAATGGGTGCAAGGAAAATCTGTTTATCATGAAAACTTCTACATACTATATAATTTGGGTGGGGGTCTTACATAATCTCTGTGTACCGTAATCTCCATGCAGGAAATCCCAAATGAAATCTACCAGGACCATACACAAGGAGAAGATCAGGTTCTGGCCCACCAGTACCTAATGAAAAGGCTGGAACAGTAAGCGTTCATCTGGCATTCTGATGTTAGAAATGCCTCGGAAATGCTAAAAGAATATGAAAAATAAAACAAGAATGGAAAGAATAAATGCATTCTTCTCAAACATACCTACAGCTTTCAGTGCATGAGTCATGTCAGCTTCTGTAAACGCAATCTCACTTTTGTTATCAGAGTTGCAGCAAGTGGAATACAGTAAGTTTGCTACTTTGGCGATGGCTTCCTTGCCATCAGAGCTAGATAGACACTCCATAAACATCCCTCCATGTCTATAGCATGAAGCTTTGGTATCTGCAACTACATCCTACGACTCCATATGAATGATACAAATTATGAAGTGATGGATAGATAAGAAGAATAATAGGCACCAATCATTGGAATACATGCTTTAGACAGCAAATGGATCAACAGGAAGCTGAACTCAGCAACTTACTAAAGAATTTATTGGGTTCCCATCTGTTGAGGTTTCTATACCAGGTTGAATCAACTCCTTTAGTACTCCTGTAGAGAATTGTGAAAATGGTTATATAAATCTTTCTGCAGTGCACATTGTACATTCATTAATGCAGTGCTAAAACGAGCTGAGAAGTATAATGGGAAACGCAATGGTCATCATTTAAAGCCATGCCATTTTCCTGTTTAGCTAGATGTAATGGTTCCGTCCTGATTTTCCTTTCATTTTTTTTGGGGCATGTAACAGATAATTTAAATTATTAGAAGTATTCTTATGCAAAAAAATGTAATTTGAAAGCTATTGTTCCTACAGTACAGATTTACAATCTACATTACGGAAAAAGTAGTACAAGTGAAAACTTGAAGGGGCAAATATTTAACTAAAGCAATCAAACTCATTATACCTCTACATTGCTGCTAAAGTGATTTCATTTCACATCACCAGATTTAGGAAAGAAAATCGTTATTGGTCAAGGATAGGTAAAACAAGATGATACTAGATACTCATGAAGAAGCATGTATGGGATATGTTTGTGATCACACCTTCAATGTCATAGAGAATTAGATAATTAATCCCAATAGTTGAGAACCAGCGTAAAAGTTGCTTGACCTTCAAAGCATTCTTTGCCTCTCTGCTATCTACTACAACACCCAAGTATGCAAGTCTCTCAAGATGTAGATTTCGGTACTTGGGCAACAACTTGAATGAAATGAGATAGCATTCTAGATCATTCTTCAGATGTGACAATGAACCAAAGAAGCTGATCACCAAGTGGACAAGGCACCACAGCAACCCTAAGATGAGCTTTAAAATCATAGGTGAATAAGATATCTGCATTGGTGAAACATAAATGATCAACATATCTGGATAGGAGAAGATAGAAACATAACTTTGTTGGTAAACTTCCCCTGAAAGTTAACATGAAAAGGCTAGCAACATTGTCTTGTATTATACATATATCAATTACAATAGGATCAACAGAACATGTGGGTCATGCTCCCAAGATCTATGTAAGGGGGGAATATATATCTAGCTGTGTCAATTAGCCATGTTTGTAATGTACTCATAATTGATGTCAAGCAGGCCCGATCTACTTAAAGCATGTTTGCTGTTAAACTCCTCAACACATACAGGTTACCTGATTGGAGAAGGCTACTGTAGGTTGTTGGACTATGTTGGCTGTAGCAACATTAAGGCTGGGCTGTGCCAGGTTTTTCTTTCACTACTGCACAAAAATTACAACAAAAAATTCTCAATAGGCGATCCAAAGGTCCATACTATACAAGCCCACCCAGGGCAAAGTTCATAAATTACATAAAGAGAACAGGCCAAAGATGCTTTTCTCTTGACATAGCTCAACATGCTACTGGCGTGCCTCCTATCAGCTGAAAATGGTACAGAGAAAGCCTCATGTTCTCTTAACAAAGTTTGCAATCATAAAAGAATTCAAGACATGCTCTCCTCCCCATGTTGTTATTCGCAGGATTTGGGTTTTCAATGTACACTGAATTACAAGAACTAAACATCTGATGAAGTCTAAGAATAGCATGGTGCCAGTTTGGAAGCTTAACATTTTCCAGGACCTTGAGTCATTGACTAGTTCTGCCATGGCATGATGTCCACAGCCACTAATCTTAAAACTCCTAATTAGTGTCCTATCATGTGGATCCATTATCTAAAAAAGTGCTATCATGATCATTAGTCCATTACATGATCGAATGCAACACAAGCTGCATGCGACAGGAACCGACAACTAATGTCCAAACCAATTAACCATACTAGCCAAACTTCAAAGATAGTATAACTTACCCACGAAAAGCTATCTTGAGGAGCTAATGATCCTAAAGCCTTAAATAGTTAAATTGCTATCTAAGAGACGGCTATCTATGCCCAGCGAAGGCAAAATTTAGCTCATCATTCAAGACCATTCAACATTAATGCATGGAAGAAGCTAAAACTTTTTTTTTTTTGCTGACTCTACTTTGCTGCCCCCATTTACTCACCTTCTGCTCTCGAATTCTTCTCACAGTAAAAGAACAAACCCCCCGCTACTGTCCCAGCAAACCAGACCAGCCATGGCGTACCTGAACCAGGAGCGGAGGAAGGTATCGCCGGCAGAGCAGAAATGCCGCCTCCGGCAGCCCTGCCCTACAGCTCACAGCTACGACGTGGAGTGAGATCGATCAGCGAGGAAGCAGGATTCACCGGCTCCAGGGTTCCGGTCACTGGAGGAAGAAGAAGACCTCTCGCCTGGCGCTGGCGCGGAGACAGTTAGCGTGGCGCCGGTGAGGGGCAGGAGGCGCCGGCGGCGAGGGACACCGGAGATGGGGACGGGGAGGAGGCGAGGTGTGCAGGCTGGAGCAATGGACTTCGAGCTTGGGCTGGATGGGCCTCTCGTGGGCTGGGGTGGACGCCCAATCTCAAAATCTCAATGTTGCCAAACTTAAACGCGCTTAACAACTTTTAACCATATAAATCTCGATAAGTGCATGTCTAAATGTTTAAGGACTAGTTTAATCTTAAAGAAATTTTAGAAACTAGTTTAATCTTAAAAGAAATTTTAGAAATTACAACAAAAATTTTGACACTCTGTTTATCAAAAAATCAAAAATTTGTGATAAAGAAAATTGTCAGTTAGGTGGTTTTTGCTTACGTGATGCTTTTTTTCCCTAGAAATTCTTGTTGGAAAAAAACTCCTGACGCTTAGTTGATTCCAATATATTGGAGTTTTGGAAAAAAATTTGAAAAATTGTCGTTGGAGCACTCTAACAAGAGTATAGCTCGCTCTAATAGGCACAAATTCCATGGGCGTGGTTCTTCTTTGTTTCGAAAGATAAACCCGGTTTATTCAGGATCCCTTTGTCCAAATGACACAACCAACAATAGTCGGGTGGATTACAGGTCGGATTGTCCTGACGTCCTCAAACTGCCAATTGCCAGTAAACTAGGATTGTCGCCGCCCTTGAGTGTTAGTGGAACTAGCAGAGGATGGGGCTTGCGGACGTAGTCCTGCGCAGCCGATGGAAGGAGTTTGTGGCAACGGCATGGCTCTCCTCCCTGCATGTTTAGCTCCAGCGAACTCCGTCTTCCCGCATGGTCTACCCCAAGCTCCCGTTCGCCGGCCAACCCCCATTCCTTCACACTAATGTTTGTCATTGACGTCACGTCACCGGACTCATGGTCCTTAGTTCCTCACCTAGCACATCGTCAAGTTCCTCCATCGTCGACGTCGACTTGTGAAGATCCATATATGCTCAGTATCCTCGAGCTTCAGATGTGCGATGAACATCGCCGCCGAGCTTCATCCTTAAGCTCTATCATGCTACATCCATTGTATGCGCCGGTAGAAAGAGACAACAAAGATAGCGTGGGAAGGAAGATGGTGTTGACAAATGAAGTTCACTGTTTTTTATGTTTTAAAAAGTTGATTCGACTACCATATAAATAGCACGTAATCAAAGCCACCTCGATCTTGTAGAGGGTATAAGCTGAACGGTTTAGATACCCATAGAGGGGTTAGTATCCAGTTTTGAAGATTAGAGGTGAGCGTTAGACAAACGCAATAGTTAAGATGGGTCAATGAACTTACGGCTCTATCTTTTCGCTTATGCTTATACTTATTAGCCAAAATTTGAATTTTTAACCTTAAATTTGGTGTTGATTTTGGGGGTTTTTTTATCGAAATTTATTTTTTAGCCTTTAGTTTTAGGTTGCTAAGAACACGTATATAATTTTTTTTTCACAAATTAATTTTAGCAAAATGATGGTACCTTATCCGAGTATTTATGAGAGTCAGATAGATCGATATGTGTGCAGCGTGGACCTCACTGTAGAGTGTAACCGCAAAATATACCGTGGTTTTAAAAATTAGAAATGTTACCATGCATGGTAACTACGATAACCGTGTGGTTTTGTAAGTACTTCCATCTCGCCACCTTTCTCTCTTTCATCTCTCTTCCCGAGCTATGGCCTACGGCCAGCGTGAGCTTGTGACTTTGCCTCTCCATTCATCTGACTTTGACGAGATTGGGCCCTTTTTTGCCATGGCTGTGAATGAGAACCGCAGAATCCTTGTTCGAGAAAGAGAGTAAAATCGATACATCATATGCACAGACCAGCCAGCTGTCGATCGGCAAATGGCCCGATCCACAAACTTCAATCCGAGCAAGCACACCCGTCCTTGGAAAATGACTCCTCCTAATTACATGCAAATCACCATGCTTTATTAATTACTAATTACATGCTTTAAACGTAATTAGCGCGCATGCAACAAACGAAGAGATCGAAGCAAAGTGATGGATGATCGATCACTCGAGGGGATCGCCGCCGTCGGCCTTGTGCACGGTGACGCTGAGCACGTGGTCGCCGTCGCCGTCGTCGACGTCGCCGGCGCCGGAGCCGGCGGAGCGGAGCGCGCGGAAGAAGCAGGTGTCGCCGACGGCGAGGCCGTTGTCGGCGCAGAACCGGTGCCAGCCGTACCGGAGCACCGCGCGCTCGCGGCGCGGCCGCCTGCCCTTGGTGTGCTTCAGCCTCACCGTCCACGACCTCCCCCGCATCCGCAGCACCACCTTCTCCCGCGCCGCGTACCCGTGCGCCTCCTGGAACTCTACCGGCACGTTCTTTGAGATTGATCGAGAGGTTTAGCAACAACAATAAGACAGTGGAAGGCAACTCGATCAAAATGGTGGCATAGGGTGGGTGTGCTGAACAAAGCGCCTGATCATCTCATGCCTCCTACGAAGTTCACTTCGTGAAATGAAGTGAAGAAGAAGAAGAAGAAGAAGAAGAAGAAGAAGAAGAAGAAGAAGAAGAAGAAGAAAGGCTTCAAGCTAGCTGGAGACCTGCAGTTTTGTGCACAACGGTTGGTCATATTGGGAGATGGACTTTTGAAACAGATACTGCTCATTCCGTTTTATATTATAAAGCGTTTTGATTTTTTTTAAAATTTAAACTTTTTTAAGTTTGATTAAATTCGTAAAAAAAATATAGTAACAAACCTAAAGAATTTTGATTTAAAAAATCAAAACAAATTGTAATATGAGATGGATGGAGAGCATATGACATTTCTTCGCCGATCTAGAAAAGAAACAATGCCCCATCTCATCATAGGGCCCCGTTCTCAAGAAGCACTCGCATTGGCCTGGCCAGAATTAGCATGACATCACTATTATGTTTTTGCATTGCACCACCATTGCTGTGTAAAGTTCACTCAACTTTTTGTTGTTTTGACGGAGGAAAAAAAAAGGATATTGCAGGCTGTATGATATTCTGAAAAGCAGGTGTTATTTCTGAATTTACAGTCTAACGAGTTACTGTTAAATTCATATGTTTATATATGGTTACCTCATTTAGCATAGCCGACATGGGGTACCCACGCTAGCGTTAAGGATCATACTATTGCTCTATTCGCACTTCTTAAAGATATCAAAGTCTAGTCTTCATCATAATTTTTCTCTTGCACCATTGGAGTTGAACTCCTACTGATGGATAGTAGTTCATTCATTAATGTGTGTTACACATTAATTGATTTCCTTGCCCAGAAAAAAACTAATATATACACTAGATTTTCAGTTGGTTTTAGACTGATGGGGTAAAAAGAAATTCCTAGAGCTGCCAGGTTATATTCATAAGCGCGTATCTGACCAATTTTTATTCCCGTTCAATGATGGGGATTTGAGGTAAACAAGGTTACAAATTGACACATGCACATCTTCAATTGAATTTCCTGAAAATGTTTTCGTAAAGGTTAAGATGATGCATTGAAAATGAGAACTGTCATGTGCTTTGCATGTGTTTTTAAACTATATATGAATGAATGTACCATATCTGAATATTTGATTTAGATGACGAAAGGTATCGCAAAATCAATATCCAGGACACCACATTAGTGCCGCTTCGTAAGGGCCATCACTGTCAGTTTTGGAACAGTGCTACCAATAATGTTGAGAAATCTAGTAACACCAACAAGATTTGGCTATTACATAACCAAATATCGGTAGAAAAGTTCATCGTCAAAACACACACATAAACTATTTTTGGTCTTGCTCAGGTTAGCATTACACAAATTTGTTTAGTTTTGTTACGGAACAAAACAAACACACCCTTAAGCCTCAAACCAACAAATGTCATTCTTTCCATCTAATATAACTGAAGATATGCCAAAATTTCGACAAAGGCCATCATTTCAAGGTGAAAGAACAGGCTTCCAAGATTGTTATCTGGTGCCAATCTTCATAGAGTGACTGTATTTAGTACTTTACTTGTCAAGCTTCATGCATTATGCGTTTGGTATCTGGAAGCTCAATCCCAGGGCTCCAAGCAGCATTTCTTCTATGAGGTTTCATGGTACGTCAAAATGAACTCACATAAAGACTGACTGCCAGCGTCATTTCCTTCTCTGAGGATCCCGAGTAAGGCCGTGCTTTTTCAAAGTTGTGATATAGCTTCGCATCAGACCAAACTTGTTAGAACCTAGGTGGTGCAAGTAATCCCATGTAAAGATCCCTGTCTTGTGCAGATCATCAAACAATATCCTGCAATACAAATACTAGGTCATATTATAGACATACTGTATTCTTGCGGAAAATCAAACAAGAAGTGCATATAAAAAGCCACAAAGAATTGCTTACTATTTTTTTTTACGAAACAGGATCAATTGACATTATGTGGGGGAAAACCTCCACGAATTTGATAATGCAAGAAACATGACCCTCACCGTACTCCGTAATTTCCTACTGATTCAGCTGACATTATTCCAACATGTCGCCGCCCAAATATAACCTGATCAAAGAAATGCAGATTGGCATAATTTCCACCGTAAAAACTTAGTAGACCGAAATTTTCTAGGGCACCGAAGCGATGCCAATATTAAAGATACAGAGTTAAGGTCTCTGTCCGGCTGCTCAGCTTTCCAAGGCTAATAATCTACAAACGTTCAAATTTATTCATAATAGAAAGTGTAGCCCTTTAGAAACTATAAAATGCACGACAGCTCCACTGTGAATGGATATAACGAGTGAATGGGCTGATCTGATACAACAAGTGAATGAGTAAAAATGCACCACATTGGCCATCCAACAAGCTCAGAAGACCATGTGTGCCACTGAGTACAGAAAGTGCATGGTGCATTACCTTCTCACCAGCTACTGATCTGATTTTGCTATCAGCTGCTGGGCTGTACACTCTAAGAAACTCAGCAGGCAGATGGAATGAGCTGCCATCCTCAAATTCAACTTCTACCTGACAAAAACCAGTAGCACATAGCTCATGTCAAAAGACACACAAACCCATACCCTAATCAACACTCATATGAACAATTCGAGAAGAATAATGGTTTAATGATAAGTTGAGAAATGAGAGTTGAACATTTTTTCTACAACCAATTGTCTGTTTAATTGTTCCTAAAAAAAACTAATCATGGGATCACTACCCATAACATTTCAAAATTTAGGCATGTAACATTAGAACACATTAGAATTACATGGTACATACGAACAAGAGGAGTACACATATTGCACTTGAACACAATATTACAACCTATGCTGCTCAGCTAATAAAATTGGTTTTCTCATGAGAAATTTTTTACTTGCTTCAATCATGCCTGATGGCAACAAAGTTCTTATGCATCCTTAAGCAATCAAGTACAAAGATTGTCATATACCCTCGTAATCTCGTTCACCAGCAAGTCGCCGCGACGTTGAACAAGGGATTGGAACAGTGCAACTGCTTTTGGGAGGGGAAGGAACTCACGAATTTGGGCGCGCGAAGCGCGAGCTTCGTCAGCCGCGGGGGCTGCGCCTGCGCCTGCGCCGCGTGGAGCCGCCGGACCACCGCCGCGCCCATCGCTGCAGCCATGGACGGCCAGCCGGTGAAGCGGCCGGACCTAGCGGGAGGAGGGGCGATGTCGCGAGGGGCGGAGGAAGGTAGGGAGAGGGGCGGCGACGCGGCCGCGGCGTCGATGCGGCTACGGTGGCCGGCGGGCAGCGGATGCGGCGGCGAGGCGAGGCGAGGCGAGGCGAGGGGCGGCCGGAGATTCGGGAGGGAGAGGGGTAGCGATGGTGACGTGGCGAGAGAATAATTGGAGTATTGATTTGGAATTTTGGATTAAAATCATAACGGGAAACGCTACACGAGAACTTTTATTTTTCTTACAAACTCTTACTCCCTCCTTTTTGTTTTATATATTATATTATTTGTTTTGATTTTTTTTCATAGTTAAACATATTTAGCTTTGATCAAACTTTTAGAAAAAAAAATAACATCATTTACAACATAGTTTCATTAAATGTAACATCGGATATATTTTGATACTATGTTTGTGTGATGAAAATGCAGCTATGTTTTTCTATAAACTTAGTTAAAATTTTAAAAAATTAACTAGAGAAAATTTAGAGCGACTTTTAATATGAAACGGAGGGGTATCAATGTTGATGTGTTTTCTTGGGAGCAAATCTATTCGTCTAGCTAAATTAAATGATTATTTAAAAATTTGTTTCTTAAAAGTTTTATAAAATTTTAGTAGTAATAAATCATAATCGTGTTTATTTTCCTTTTAAAAAATACACTTTGATTTAACATGTCTCGATTTAATAAATAAATTGAATTTTAACATGCTTCATGTAAAATTTTGTTTAAATTCTATAGGAAGTGGGGACATATTTACGCATTTCAAAAAAAACATTCTCAACTTTAGTGGTGTAAATCATCTCTCCTCTACCAAAATTATACATGTGTCATTTGTCTTTTACCATCTTTTACCTTGATAACCATTGTATTATCTTGTTTTTAACATTTCATATATTTTATGTAGCATTTTAGATCTCTATGGATTTCTTTTATCCTTTTCTCGAATGTTGTTTTTGATGTTTGTTATAGTGTTGTTTTTTAAAGTGCTATCACACTAAAATGCGTTGTTTTAGCGTCACAACTATTGTGACACTAAAATAGAAGCCATTCAAATTTCCTATTATAGATATCTAAGAATAATAGGTTATCTAGTGCTAGTCATGCATGGTTACAATGGTTTACATATATTATGTTCTTACATTCATCAATTCACAGGCACATTTTAAGTGAACTTTTTTTTCTACCATGTTATCATCATCACACGGTTCTTAATAAAAAGGCAACGATAAGGCATAATGCATAGTGAATTCCAAATTGAGCGAAGGCGGTCACTTTGCGATATTGTGCCAATTCCAGTTTTGAACGACCGCATACTTGTTTCATAGCTTTCAACTGAGCGGTAGACCCGACACAACTGACGGATAAGCGGATTGAGCGCAAAAGCGCATCCGTTTTCTTGCTCCTTGGCTTCAAGCAATCGATTGAATCTGGATTCCTTTGCTTATCCTTTCTGGCTATAATCTCTCTTGTTCCGTTTTCGCAATGTGTTCGCTATAAATATCATATAACTATTACGAATAAACAACATCAATTGGTTTGCCAAAATTTAAAAGCCTCCATCAACAAATAAGCGTAGTAATGCATAATGTTTATATCGTCTCAACTGACTAGGGAATTTGGAGATGCATTGAGACGTCTATTTTTCATTAATTTTTAGTGAATTTTGACAAATTTCAAATAAAACCGTTAGAGATGCACATTTTAAAATTTGAACGTGAAACTCGTACGCAATTCGTTTAGGCTGTGAGAATCGTACCTATGCGTAATACTTCTACAACTTGTGTCAACACGGTTAAACATGCTTCAAATTAAATTATACTCAATACACAAGTTTGAATCTGATTCGAATATAAATTAAAAAATATCCCACGTGTAAAGCACGACAAAACGTTTTAAACTTGCCCCGACAAATTTTGTTTTGTTCAAGAGACAAAAAAAAAAAAGAAAAAGAAAAAGAAAAGAGAAAGCTATTCCCAGTTTCCCACCGATTACCTCGGCTTCGTTAACGTTCTCGTTTCCCACGGCTATTGCCTCCTCCTTCCCTCTCCTCTCCTCCTCTCGTCTCGCCCTCCTCCTCCCCACCTCCACAACCCAACCCCACCCCCACCCCCACCTCCTCGCGGAGATCCCCCTCCTCGCCGCGCTCCCCGCCGGAATCCGCGGCGAGCGGCGAGCGTCCCGAGCCCCGGATCGCCGGGAACCGCGCCGGATCCCGCGGGGGCTCGGCCGCCGCGAGCGAGCTCTCCCCGGCGGCGTTTCCCCGGCAGATCCGATCCGAGGAATCCTATCGCGAGGGCGTTGGCGCTGTTGGGCGGGGTGGGGGGAAAAACTTCTGCAGAGGAGGAGGAGGAGGAATTGGGGGGAGGCCGTGGCGACGCCTAGGTCCCTTGCGCCGTGGACGCCATGATTGAGCAGTTCGTCAATTTCGTCATCCGGCCGCCCCGGTACCCACATTCCGTCGCCCTTGTTTGCTTGTGGTGTGAATTTGGCATGGTTGGTACATTGGCATGTGGCCGTACGTACTGTTGTGAATTGGGAGATTTGCATGATTAATGCGAGCCTCACGTACATGCAGCTTGGGTTCCTCGATTGCTAGTAGATTAGGTAGAATCTAGGTTGTTTTGAGTTTATGTTTTATTCGAGCAAAGGGGAACCACGGGCATTATTTATTGAAACCAGTCATTAGTTCGTACAGAACCATGGAAGCAAGATGAGCATTCAAGCTACTAGGATATGCTGGAAGCGCCAAGTTCTAGCTCGAAATTCGATACATTATGCCTCCGTAATCCATGCTAGAGAAAAGAAGCAAAGAAACCAATAATGTGCTTGAAAGTAGCCCAAAGTTACTTTGACATGTTTCAGTAAAATTTCTGTAGAAAAGATACAAAGGAAACAAAAAGGTGCTTGAAACTAGCCCAAAGTTACATTGTCTGGTTTCAGTACAACTTTTGTCAATGCAATATGCTGGCTCTGAAGCCTCCACCCTGAGCAGTTTGTGAGGGAGGCTGAACCGGTCATGCTAATCTTACCAATGATTCATTTCAAAAGTTTGCATGTCAAGTGTGAGAACGAGGATTTGTACCTAAGGATAGTCATCTTGGATATGATGGTACATTGGCCCTTGATTTTCTTTAGAGCACAGTAACCTGCTTACTGTTAACAGAAACCTGATAGGAGTACATGGGCTCTTGATGTTGTAGATCGGTACCATGTGCCATAAAAGCTAGAGTTAGGTACAATGGAATGGTCATTGCAGTTGGCATTGTGTGGGTAGTTGTGCATGTATGGGCATGCTCTATAATGCCTATAACATATACCATTAAGAAGTAGCTTTAGTGTGGCACGATAATCTAGCCCATGCTCACATGACAAATGTGGGCAACCTGCTGAGTGGAGGGATAACGAGAAAACTGTTAGCAGTTGACCTTCTTAGGTGTCGGATTTTTTCATTCTGGTTGCGAATATTATGGATATGTCTTTTTCAAACTTATCTTTGTTTAAGGGGAGGTGTTTTTTGCATTGAGTTTTGAATTGGAACATCTGCACATGGAAATGTTTTCTCTTCACTGCATTTCAAAGCTGAAAAATCTCATAATAGGTGTCTAATCAAAGAATCAGAGCCATGCTGATGCAATGTATAAATAATTGAATGGACCATTGACTTAGTTTGCATGAACCTGTCAACTGACAATGGTACAGTTTATTGAAAAGAAAATTGTAGGAAATCACTGTACACGGTCCCATGGAATTTACCAGTTACTTGTCTGCAGGTCAGAGTATAATCCAGATCAGTATTTATGGGAGACGGAGTTTATCCTTGCTGGGCGCAAGTACAAACGACTAGACTTGGAGGCAAGTAAGGGAACCAATTGTCGAGGTTTTTTTCTTTAATTCATTTACTGGGAGAAGTTTGACTGCAATTATGGACATCTTTGTTGATAGCCTTATTCTGCCTTTACCAGCTTACGAATGCAAGAGGCCTTACAATAAAATGCAGCCACTATGTTCCTGCTTTCATTCCAGAGAATACTTCTCTTCCATGTGTGATTTACTGCCATGGAAATAGGTATTTACCTTGTGTGCTCAGTGCTAGCATATTAGTCTGAGTCGTGTTTTCTTTAACATTCAGATTAGTGTATTTTGATATATTAATATGTGCTCCTAAGCCTTTGGAAACCAAATTAATATTAAGTTAGTAGCACACGTTATGAGCTAGCATTTCCTCTTAACTGATGAGATTCATCTCAAGCAATCACCGATATCTTTTGGAATCTTTAACAGGCTTTTGCTTTGACTCAATGCAGTGGATGCCGGGCAGATGCAAATGAAGCTGCTGTTATACTGCTTCCTGCAAATATCACTGTTTTTACACTTGATTTTTCCGGGTCAGGTCTATCAGGTGGAGATTATGTAAGCCTTGGTTGGCATGAGGTATATAATCAGTATCACTTTTGTTCTTCTACATTTATATCATGGATAATTACATTATTCTGAAATTTTCTAGAAAGAGGACCTAAAATGTGTGGTGTCATACCTACGGACCACTAAGCAAGTTTCCTGTATAGGCCTTTGGGGGCGATCGATGGGTGCTGTTACAAGGTACCTTTTAGTTTGGATATACTGCATGCTCCTTTTACTTGGTGGTGGAGATTTATTTATTTCACTTCACGTGACTTGATTGATATGTTACACCAAACAGAGATCAACATTGAACAAAATTATCTGTACTTAAGTGGCCTCTGATTCTCCCGTTTTGCTCTTTGATAATGTGCTTTAGAAGGTTTTTAGGCTTTGAGTTCATGTCATGTATAAGATGTCTTAAATATGTGATCTTTGCGTAACGGATCCATCCCAATTCATTCGTTGTTTTGTGAACTAATGTAATACAGCCTACTCTATGGAGCAGAAGATTCCTCGATTGCTGGAATGGTATTGGATAGTGCTTTCACTAACTTATATGGCTTGATGATGGAGCTTGTGGATGTCTACAAAATCCGGGTTCCTAAATTCACGGTATGCACATATTCTGTATAAAGTTGCTTTTGTTCCATAACAAAATGACATGGAATGCTGCAATATTGCATTGGCATAATTTGTAGGGTATCATGGCTTATAATAGCTATGATTCTTTCTTGTTTCTTTTTGGGAAATCAGATTGTTCTATTGTGGCTTAATAGCTCAATATTTGCCCATCGAAACCATGGTTTTACTATTCAGCACTCAGTCACTTAGCTCTTAGTTGCAATTGTTATTTTTTGAGCAATTATTCAACCAGGCTAAGTTAGTAATTACTTCATCAGGTTAGGAGTGTAAAAGGGCTTTGAGTTATGTGATTGAACACCATTCAGTTGCTTCAACTTAAAATGCATTTATATCCCATTTTTAAGCAGAGAAACTACCTAACTTACTGCCAATGTTATTTGATTTCTACTTTCATTGGTTTGCCTGCACCCCCATAATTACCAATTTACATAGTTTCCTTTGATGTGATGCAAGAAATAAACATGCAAATAAAGCTCCATTCTCTTGATGGAATTGCAAACGACTACACACAACTTAAATTCATCTTCTGGTTGCAAATAACTATGATAACTTATCTGGTAGCTCTATCTTATTCTGTTATTGGATATGAATTTTAATTTTAGCACACCCTTATTAAAATTACTTCTTCCTTCGTATTCAGCTTTCACTTCTAATGTTGTGAAGCGTAGCATCGTTGTATGTTCTTACTAACATAAGCTCCTTTCTAACCTTAGTGAGCATTGCTGTATTTGCATTGTTTTAATCATTTTTTTTCTGAAATTCGTCGTTTCAGGTTAAGATGGCTGTTCAGTATATGAGAAAGATCATTCAGAAGAGAGCTAAGTTTGACATAATGGATCTTAATGTTTTACAGGTTTACTTTCTGTATCAATATCTCGCAATCATAGTATTGTAGAAGTTAACACAATGTAATCTTTTTTGTTACTGAATAAACATGTAGACGCATAAGCTCATGGAGTACCATAAAGACTATTTCAGACTACATTTTGCAATTATTCACTGCCATTGGTTATATTTCATATTAAATAACACTATGGACATGATAAATGATATTATCAAATACTCCCTCCATCCCAAAGTATAGTAGCAACCTAGTATACGATTAGGCTTATCCAGATTTGTAGTACTAGGTGGTGCCTAATCATGTACTAGTATTTGGGGATGGAGGGAGTAATTAGTTTTCTGCAGAGCCTGGCTGATTATGCTGGGTGTTATATGTAATTGCCTCCATCCCAAAAAGACCTTATTGTGCATAGCAAGAAATGAAGTCTTTCTGGGAAGGAGGTAGTAATACTTAGAAATCCTCTATTAGTGAACTGTTGATTATTGAACTTTGCGATCTGAAGTGCTCTTAGTTGCAGTAATTTTAAATGCTTGCTCGCTCCTACAATTGTGGCTGACTTTGTGTTCTCTTGTTCTTAAACAGTTCGCTCCCAAGACGTTTATTCCTGCATTGTTTGGTCATGCTTCAAATGACATGTTCATTCAGCCTCACCACTGTGATCGTATTCACCAGGCGTATGGGGTAATGCATAATGTAGTTTGTTTTATTAATGCCACTCAAAATCAAATAAATAATACATAAATCGCTAATTGACTGTTCCTGGCTTCCTGCTGAAGAATACATTATTATTTGTTTAAAATTAAATCATGTTTATTGTACAGGGGGATAAAAGTATAATAAAATTTGAGGGTGATCACAACTCCCCAAGACCTCAATCATATTATGATTCAGTTTCAATGTTCTTCTATAATACTTTGCATCCTCCTCAATTGCCTGTGAAATGCTCCAATAATCTAGGTGCTTTCAAAGTTGGCACGGTGACCAATGAGGTAAAGCTTCATAAAATACGTTACAAAACTTAATTTGGAACCACTATTGTTCTTATGAAGTACTTTGAGTGAAAACAAATATTTGCTTTTGGGTGGTCCTCCAGAGTTTCATTTTTGAGATCATTAGTGGTCTACGAGGAGCTGGAACCAATTCATGCAGTTCATCAATAGATGCATCGAAATTTCCAAATGGTGTGTTACGTTCCGCTCTTTTGCTTCCTTGTAGTTGAATTGTATAACAAGGCGCTATTCACTAACTGTATCTCTTTATTTCAGCTACAACACCAGTAGTTGAATTGCTGTCAGAGAGTGTGAATCAGCTGTCCATTAAGAATGACAGTGACTTGGTAGGATTGCTAATGATACGTTCGTGCATGATATGCAATACCCTTTCCTGACTGTTCGATTAAATGCAGGATTTTCTTTTAGACGAGAATCGCACCCTCTCAGAAATTGATGGTGATAGTGCTGGGTCACGCTTGCAGGTGAAGTATATAAATTGGTTAAGCAGAAATTAATCACTGTATTTTGTAGTGAAGCTCAACATTATCTCCATATGAGTAATTGAGGTCACTGTAAGAAATTGTGGCAATTGTAGCACAACTATGGTTTGCTTAGTACTTAGTAGGGTCATTGAAACCAATGGTCAGTTCCATTCATCATGATTGATTACCCGGTGGACAACAATTGTATATAATTGTCAACAGACAGGAAAAACGCTTCGATATTCCTGTACCTGTAAGTTGTGTGATGAGTGATGACAATATGTCTGCTTTTCTTATAGGACAAATCAAGTGGGCACAATGAGGAATCCTGCTCATGTACAAGCTCTAACAGAGAAAGTTGGGGTAGATGTTCCTCTTTAGGGGGAGCTAGTGACGACTCATTCCCTGGCGATATTAGTGATAAGCAAGAGGTAAGTTGCCTCTCTTACTTCCCTTTCAGTTTAGTTGTGTGTACTAAAAATACTATGAAAGCAGGCACATTGGATGTGAGGTAATTATGATAAATATTTTGCATGATATTTAGATTAATACTGTTATATAGCTTAAGTTGATTAGCTTAGTGTTACTAATCGTTTATTTGGGTTTCTCTCAAATAAGTTCAATATTTTTTCTCATTATAAAATCTCAGATACAGTAAATGTGTCTTGTAGAATATGACTGTAAAGGCTCTGGCAACACCGCTAAGACAGAAAGACAGCAAATCGACAACCCCAAAAACAAAGGAGAAGAAGAAGTCACTATGGAAGAAGCTTAACCGTGAGAGGGCAGGGGTGGGTGATAGTCTATCGCAACGTTTGAAGATGTGCCTCAGTCATTCTTCTCGTCACAAGAGAGTCAAATCATCTGGGATAGTGTAACAACTTATTAGCCTTGACAAAGTCCATCTCAACGAATCACTGACACTGATCAGTTCCGTGAACACCGAATCGCCTTGATTTGATTCTGACTTACCTGCTGGCACTACCAGTGCCAGATTGTAACTTGTAACACTGGTGAGTACATACTCGATTGCCATGGCTCGTGTCAAGCTTCGCAGGAGCCCATGAGATTGAGCGACACGCCCTTGTATTTGCTGTCTCCTGTAATTGCGATCTCTGGCTCGCTGTTTATTTTCCTTTTACCACTTGAATGCTGTAAATTACAATGCTGTAGTGCAAGAGTGCGACTGCAGCTTGTTGGTGAGATGAAAGGGATGTCGTGCGTCGTTTTTTTTACTGTGTCCTGTTCATATTTATTTAATCATTCTGCTATTTAACTTTACTGGAAGGGACGGATAAATTGGATCGGAGGCATAACAATTGTTGAGCTCTTGAAACTTTATACCCAAAAATTGTAAAAACTCTACCCAATTTTTAAAACATTCAACTTAAAATTTGAAGCTTTCAACTTAAATTTTAAAAATTTATATTAAACAACTCTACCTTGAGTTTAAAATTTTTAATTCAAAATTAAAAACTTTTAGTTCGAACTTTGAAACTTTCTATTGTAAATTAAGAAAACTTCACCTAAATTTTAGAACTTTCTACTATAAATTTTAAATTACACCCCAAATATAAAACTTTGTATTTGAATATTTAGATTTATTATTGATTGTATCAGAAAACATTTATGGTCTAAGAAAGGAAATAAAGCATCACAAAACGCTGTTTATATGGGCAAAAAGCACTCGTGGGTTCGCAGCCCGAAAATGAAACGGGAAAGGTTGTTATAAAAAAAAAGGGAAGATTTTTTTTTTCGTTTCCCACTCGAGACAAGTTTGTGGAAACTCCAGCTGAGAGAGAAAAATGAAAAGAAAGAAAAGAGAAAAAAGAAAAGAAAGAAAAAAAAGAAAACCAAATTGTCCCTCTCCCTTTCGCTTCTATGTCGTGCTGATGTCCTGCCACTAGGTTGCTACTTGACGCCTGAATTCTTCGCTCCATCTTTATCGTGTTTAGTTCCAAACTTTTTTTTTTTAAATTTCTAACTTTTCCATCACATGAAAACTTTCCTACACACATAAACTTACAACTTTTCCATCACATCGTTTCAATTTCAACCAAACTTCCAATTTTAGCGTGAACTAAACACAACCCTTATCACTGTTCATCCTTCTTCACTGCCGCAAGCATTTTTCCAACGCTTCTCACCTTACGCTGCCCACTGGCCAAGCGGCCACTGCCTGGGCTTGAAGCATTCTCTTTCCTCTACCTCCAAGCCGCGGGATCTAAGGGCTTTACCCATGCCCACAATTGATTCATAGGTATTCAAACTTCTAAATTTAACTCCAGAAATTAGGTTTGGACTGGAGTTGTAGAGTAGTCTAAACCCAGCTTCACATCTCTAGTTCATTTTATAAGAGCGTTTAGGTGGAGCTGAAATCGTTTGGTTGGACTCCAACATCAGGAGAGATGGAGTTGCATATGGAGTCATGCCAAACAGGTCTTTTATTGTACATGTAGTGTAGAAGGAAAATTCAGTACAAGGAAATTTCCCTATGTAGTGTAGAAAGCATGAGAAATGAACATTGGCACATGGCACATATATACATTTGCACAAGTTATGAAGGACCAAAATGTGAAACAGAAGTGTTGGTGGGTCTTGCTTATATGGATAAAGCAAAGGCGATGGGTGGAGAGGAGAACCCATGGGAACTGAAAATCTTCAAGGCCTTGTCCCGTTTGCAGCGGACTACAATGTCCATATCAGTCTTCTCCCCCTCCACTATTTTATAGGTGGTGAGATTTAAATACATCTTCCTTGGATAGAATTCGTGTATATCTTTATCATAAGACATGTGGTGTTCGCGGTCATCAAGCCTGAATGTAATGCAAGAAAAGCTCCCCTCGTCCTCCATGGAAGCCAAGCATAGCGCTTCCCCTACACCAACCTCCTCACGTGCCTCGGTTTTCACCGGGAACTCGGTGACGGATAGCTTGAGATGAGGAGCGGATGAGACTAGACGGATGCCTACTAGTGGCGTCGCGGAGCCGAAGAACGGCAGGCCGTAGTCGTACAGCTTGTGCCACCGGTGAGTGCCGGTGTCAAATGCATAGGTTGTCATCTTGCCCATATTATTCACGGACACGAGCAGATAGGGGAGAAATAGCACGTAGGAGGTGACGAGGATGAGGGGCGGGGCGAGGTACCCAGCCGGGGAGAGCACACAAGGGAAGCATATGGGATCCGGCAAGGCCTCCCACGAGCACCCATCGAGCGTGTGGCGGCCGTCCGCCGTTGCCACCACCGTGGCCCGGGACAGGTCGAGCACCTCGAACCACGGCTCGAAGTATTGGGGGCGGCTCGAGAGGACGTAGATCCTGTCCCCGACGGCCGCCGCGACGGGCGACAGCTTCGCGGACAGCAGCTTCGGCCCGGTGATGACCCTCCTTGTCTCGGTGTCGAAGAGGACGGTGCCGCCGGGGTTTCCCCCGACGGAGACGATCCACCTTGAGCGCACGGAGACGACGGTCTTGCAGGCCACGTCCGTCGGTAGATGAGCGAAGCGGTGGAGGACTTGTTTTGTCACCGGCGACGACGGCGAGGAGGAGGAGGAAGAGTCGTCTTCCACCTTGTACAGGCGGTAGTAGGAGTGGGAATACCAGTCCCGACGGCATACTGCAATGTACGCCGCTGGCAATGGATCCCGCACCGTCATCAGGTGGGAGTCGTCCAACAACGGCTCGGCCTCCAGCAGATCGGTCCCGTCCCGGCGGTGGTGGCGGCGGTGGCGGCGGCGGCGCCCCATCCCGGAGGAGGAGATTGAACAATTGGGGATTCGATCGGGGGTGAGTTTAGGAGGCAAAGTGGATAGATTCAATTTAGGGTACCCTTCAATTTATTATAGGCCAGCCAACCAAGTCCCTGTCCGGCTGTCCTCAACCAACTCGGCCCACAGGCCCGCCTCACATGTGCAATCGGAAAAGGCCTGATATTTGCCTTAACGATTTCGATTTTGCTAAAGATTTCTCGTGAGATATCACTCGAATTTTCGACGGTTCGATATGCTCTGAGATCCGTGCGTTTTCATGGGCCAGCTGACCCTTCGCACATGGGCTAAAGCTGTGATGTTAAAATTGAAAGATTTAAATTATGAATTTGCTAGTCCCAACGGGTAATACGGATGAAGTACTCCAGAAAACAAAAGAAGGGATACGAATCAGATTCCAACAAGAAATGCGAATCAGATTCGGATCAGTCGATTGTGAGTTTAAAAACCAACAACTCAGGTTCTTACTCTTGTGTTGGGCTGTTATTGGGCTGTGTCCGTAAGATTACCCAACAGGCCCCCCTACGTAGTGCATCCGTCGCCGCTTTTTTTTTTTTTTGACCTTTTCCTTTTCTTCCACAACAAGAACCCATCGAAAGCAAACGACGAAGATGGCGACCAAGCGACGCCTCCCCTTCCCCAACCCAACGAAAGCAAGCCCTAGATCGATCTTGGAGACGAAGACGGCGACCAAGCGGCGTCGAGACGAATCCGCAGAGAATCGGAAGGCGGTTTACCTCGTGGCGGAGCTGTCGACAAATGAGCCATCCCACTCCGTCTTCATGGTCGATGCTGCCGCTGCCGCTGCCGTTGCCGGCGGCGGCGGCGAGGTGCGGCGTGCTCACCCCCTCTCGGGGTCGGGGCTGACCGGTGCGAAGCACGGCATGTCCTTCGTCGCCGTGAGGTCGGAGCACGGGTCCTGGATTCTGGGCGCCGGTGGGCGAGGAGGGTGCACCGTGATCTACGATCCGATCACCATGGAGGAGTTCCGGGGGCCGCACCTCCACTGGCCCAAGCAGGCGTGGTGTACGCCATCTCACGGCGCCCCAGGGTGCGCCTCGCGACGAGGCTCGACTACCTGCCGTGGGTCGAGTCCCTCAGCTTCAACATGGGCGTGCCGCGCCTCGACCGCATGGATTCCCCCTACTGGAAGTCCCTGCCGCCGCCGCCATTGTTCCCTTGCCTCCTGCGCCCGTCGGAGTACCGCAATCCGCCCGACTACTGCGTCTCGTCCTTCGCGGTCGTTGGCTCCCACATCTTGCTGTCCATGGAGCAACTGCCAGGAGAAGAGCAGAGAGGAACCTACGGCTTCCATGTGGTGGACAAGGCGTGGGAGAAGGTCCACGATTGCAACCTGCCATTTGTTGGCCAGGCCGTGTCCATTGGTGGCAGCCTCTTCGCCGCCGCCATGCCCAACAATGGCGGCGGCGGCGCTTCTGTGTTCCACATGTCCATCATCAAGGTCTCCTCCTCATCATCACCTGCAAGCTGGCAGCTATTGGTCCAAGAGTTTCCAGTGGCATCGTTGGGAAGGATGATTCCTCAGCCACGGATCTTCTCTCCCTTGGGAGAGGGCAGCTTCTGTTCTGTCGGGTGGCTGGCTTCCTCTGGTCGAAGCCATGGATGCCAGATTAAGGAGTACCAGATAGAGGGCGCCGAGTCAAAGAAAGATTTGCAAGCCACAGTACAGGTGAAGCACCAGGACCAGACATACCAATTCAAGGGCCAATCTCGATTTCTGGATACACATATGCCTATTGTTGCTGCACTGTCCATGTAAACCATCTGGGGCTCTCTTGCTGTGCTTCTCCTTGTTTTCATACAGCATTACAAAATTATTTGGAGCACTTGAGACAAGTGGTCGTCGCGGGCGATGGCGCGGACGGCCGCGGCGGCTGCGGGTGACGGCGTAGGCCGCGGACGGCGGTGGTGGTTGGTGCGACGACGTCGGCGCCGGGTGCTATGCGAGAGACGGAGAGAGAATAGCCGAAAGGAGATGGGAGGAGTATGTGCGTGGGGTCCACAGTTGGCCAGTCATTTTTGGCTAGCCAAATTTGGCTAGTGAAGGGAGGGTTTTGGCCAGCCAGATGGCTTAGCCATCCGGTTAGAGAGGTTGTTGGAGGGTATTTTTTTTGCTGGAATAGCTAAAATTTAGCTTAGAGAGTCATTTGGAGAGGTTGTTGGAGATGCTCTTAGGCAAAATCAATTGTTTTGTTTGAGAAAGCTTATAAGTGTTCTTTTGCTCAGTCTCAACTTGAACATTCGGGCCACATTATGTCTGATCAGGGTGTGAGTACTGGTCCTGATAAAACTGTTGTGATGCTTGCCTAGACTATATTCCCACTAATCACACTGAGCTAAGAGGATTTCTAGGCCTCACAGGGTGCTATAGAAAGTTTGTACTCCCTCCGTCCCATAAAAATTGCATTTCTAGCTCTAAGGCTTTGTCCCATAAAAATTGTATTTCTAGCCATGTGGGGCCCAACCAATTGATTCATCTATATAAGTTTCCTTCCATCCCACGTAATTTGGGCTGCTAATGCTTGTAATTTTATTAAGTATGCTAATTATATGGGTTAATTCTCTCAAACTTCCTTTTAATCATTTGTACATATGGAATATATGCATGCAGTGGATTCATTAAATAAGGTTATTGTGGTCATTTTCTAATCCTACTATTTTGTCCTAAATTAGCTAGAAATACAATTTTTATGGGACGGAGGTAGTACATCATTATCGTATATGATAATGCTATTGCAGAAGAAAGCTTTTCAGTGATCTATTGAGGCTCAACATGCTTTTGAGGCATTGAAAAAGGCTATGAGTAATACTACAGTGTTAGCTTTGTCTGATTTTACCCAGCCATTCACTTCGGAGACAGATGCTTGTGCAATGGGTATTGGTGTCGTGTTAAGCCAACAAGGTCATCCTGTGGCATATTATAGCAAGGCATTGGGAGTAAGGAATCAAAAGTTGTCTATATATGAGAAGGAATTTCTAGTGTAAAGATGCTTGTGGAAAAGTGGAGATGTTATCTGCAGAGGGTTCCTTTTGTTATTAAAACTGATCACAAGAGTCTCTGCAATCTTAATGATCAGATTTTAGGCACTGAATTACAACAAAAGGTTATGACTAAGCTGATGGGTTTGCAACATAGCTTTCAATACAAAAAGGGGTTGAAAATATAGTGGCACATGCATCGTCCCGCAGACCTCATCAGGTTAATCTTGCAGTATTATCAGTAGTTCAACCTGTTTGGATTTAGGAAGTACTGAATTCATATGTGGTTGACCCCAAAGCTCAACAATGATTAATTGAATTAGCAATGGTAAAGCAGAATAATCAGGGGTTTTCCCTAACTGATGGTATGATTAGGTTATATGGTTAAAGTGTGGATTGGAGCAAATGCTAGGTTGCAAACCAAAATTATCACAACTTTTCAGTCTATTCCTATTGGGGGGCACTCCGGGATTATGGCAACTTATCACAGATTAAAGAAACTCTTTGCTTGGCATGGGTTGAAAGCAGCAGTAGAGAACTTTGTTCAGCAGTGCCAAGTGTGCCAACAAGCCAAACATGAGAATTGTAAATTACCTGGGTTATTAGTTCCTCTTCCTATTCGAAAAGAAGCTTGGCAAGATATTTCAATGGATTTTATTGAGGTACCGGTGTCTAATGGTTGTCATTCAATTTTGGTGGTGGTTGACCGTTTTACCAAGTACAATCATTTTATCCCCTTGAAACACCCTTCTATTTTTTCCCAGGTGGCCGCTGTGGTGGATAATGTGGTGTTCAAAACACATGGTATTCTCAGATCCATTGTTTCAAACAGAGATAGGATTTTTCTCAGGAAGTTTTGGCACGAACCTTTTGCAGTGTGGAAAACTAAACTTAAACTAAACGAGTAAACCAATGTTTGGAGATGTATCTTCGGTGTATGACTCAGGCAAATCCCAAGAAGTGGTGTTCCTACTTGCATCTGGCCGAGTTTAGGTATAACACAAATGATCATACTTCACTTGGTTGCTCCCTTCATAAAGCAATGTTTGGACAAGAACCTCTTTATGGCCAAATGCTTGATTTGTCTGAAGCTTCTCAGCCAGCTGTGGTTGATCTGATTATTGAAAGAACACAATTGAATGACTTTATGAAACAGCAGATTACCAGAGCTCAATTGTGCATGAAGCATGTCGCTGATAAAGGTCATTTTGATAGACAGTTCATGGTGGGTGAACAAGCCTTTCTGAAACTTCAACCATATGCTCAATCATCGGTAGTAAACATGCCTTATTCTAAATTGGGATTCAAATATTTTGGGCTCTATCTAGTGGAGATACGATTGGAGCAGCAACTTATAAATTGGCACTGCTGGAAGGGAGTATATGGTTCATTCGGTCTTTCATGTTTCGCAATTGAAAGGCCATGTTCCTGATTATTCACCAATATACTCTACTTTGCTTGTACCTGTCGTGCTTGACCGACGCTTGGTCAAGAAGGGGAAGGCCACGCATGTGTCAAGCTACAGGAACGACAAGGATGGAAGACTACTCAATGGGGTGGCAATGTCGCACCTGCTTCAGGAACGACAAGGATGGAAGACTAAGTCTGTAGCTGTGTTGTATGCGGGTCTGTGTGATTGGGCTTGGACCTACAAGGTGGTTTCTATGAGATTTCGGCCATGTACTACTTAAAGGGGAACCTAGCCCAAGACCTGGACATGAAATGAATGAGAGAACAAAGTCTCTCCCCTATCTGACCTTCTTTCTTCCTCACATTGCTTCTCCCCTATTCTCTGTTCCTCTGCTTAGGTTATGTTTAGTTCCACGCCAAAATTGGAAATTTGAAGAAATTAGAACGATGTGACAAAAAAGTTGGAAGTTTGTGTGTGTAGAAAAGTTCGATGTGACGGAAAAGTTGAAAGTTTGAAGAAAAAAGTTGGAATCTAAACAAGACCTTACTCTTCTATCTCTCGATTTCTCCAATCAAATCTCATAGAAATCCCTGTGATGGTGGAGATGGCGGTGATAGATTGCAACACGCCAGTTTGCATTTGCCAATTGGTTAGCAATTCATACATATTTCAAATTTAGATTTTGTATGTTACCACTTTGATATGTTGAAGAGAGAGCACTTCTATGTGTTAAACAATGTCAATTCTATGAATAAATGAAATTATGCTTAATTATTTATTATGTCAGCTATATATTGTACACTTAGTACTAGTGTACTACGTGATATTATACTCCCCCGTCCCTGTATATTTGACGCCGTTGATTTTTTAGCATATATTTAACCGTTCATCTTATTCAAAAACTTCTGTGAAATATGTAAAACTATGGCTATGTTTATATCCAGGGGTGTTACATTGGATATACGGACATACATTTGAAGTATTAAACGTAGTCTAATAACAAAACAAATTACAGATTCCGCCTGTAAACCACGAGACGAATTTATTAAGCCTAATTAATTCGTCATTAGCAAATGTTTACTGTAGCACCATATTGTCAAATCATGGCACAATTAGGCTTAAAAGATTTGTCTCGTAACTTACACGCAATCTGTGTAATTGGTTATTTTTTTCGTTTATACTTAATACTCAATGCATGTGTCCAAACATTCAATGTGACAGGGTGTAAAATTTTATCAGTGGATCTAAACAGGGTCTATATGTATACATAAAAGTATATTTAACAATAAATCAAATGATAGGAAAACAATTAATAATTACTTAATTTTTTAATAAGATGAACAGTCAAACATGTTTAAAAAAGTCAACAGCGTTAAATATGTAGGGACGGAGGGAGTACATGCCAGGTATTAAACTTTTGTTGTAAAAAAAAATTCTTGCATTTTCATATGTTGAATCTTTATACATTGAATACACAATATCAAACCCTGAACCCGCCTTGGAGAAGGAGAGGTAGAAGTGTGTGGCGGACTGGGTCGCTTCCCGTGTCGCCCTAGGAGTGACAAGGGGGGCCTTCTCAACACGCTTGTGGGAGGGATTAATCGAACATTGTCTTAGGAGGAGCTCATGACGGGTCATTTCCAGTGATATTATTTCCAGTGATATTATATTAGTGATAAGCAGGAGGTAGCTAGGTTGCCTCTCTAAATTCCCTTTCAGTTTAGCTACGTGTACTAAAACTACGATGAAAGCAGGCACATTCGACTTGAGTCACTAAAATTCTGATAAAAATTCTGCATGACATTTTGATATTATATCTTAAGTTGAAGTTAGCTTAAGTTACTAGTCGCTTATTTGTGCTTCTCTCAAATAAGTTCAACATTTTTTCCATTAAATAATCTCTGATATTATGGTAAAAACTATAGCAACATTTTCAACACAAATCAAATATATTATCAAAATATATTCAATGTTTTATTTAATAAAACTAATTTAATGTTGTAGATGTTGTTAAATTTTTCTATAAATTTAATTAAACTTTTTTTAAGTTTGACTAATAAATAAAGTCAAAGCGAAATAAAAAATGATTTGTAATATGAAACAGATGATGTTATACTACTTTGTTCGGTCTTTGTCGTGCAACTTTGACTATTATTTCTCTGCTAGAATATAACGATAAATCTAACAAACTCTACTCATAACGTTTTTACATTTCGATATTTTGAGAGCTATTAATGATTAAAATTTCAAAAGTTTTGTCGAATGAAACCAAAATTAACATATATTTAAATAGAGAGGGAGTATAATTTATACCCTTGTGAGTTGTGATGACTCATCTTACAAAGGGAAGTAAAGAGGAGTGAGATGTCGGAGGATTTTTACACCGGTTGTGTCTGGCTGAGAGTTTTGACTACTCGATATCATGTAACAAAAAATTCCGACTGTTCCATAAGCAAGGAGGAATGCCTCTACGGTTCTGAATTCTCTAAAAACAGAAATAGAACTGCATAAACCCATACTATTCATGCAATTTTCCATTTACCATTTTTTCTTATATAAAAACTGTTATGAAAATAGATGTACATCGGAGACACGAATTTTACGTGGAAAACCCTTGCGGGAAAAAACCACGAGCGCCGACCGGCAATGATCACTATAGAGGAATTAGATACAAACGCAGGGGATACATTGGGCTGTCGCCCCCTCCCCATGCGGCTTTCAAGGGATATATATAGGAGAAATCTAGGAGTCCTATTAGATAACTAATCCGAATATACTGTGGGCCCAAAATTCGGATCACATATTTAACAATCTCCACCTTGATACGAATTTCCCTTGTAGCATAAAAATCTTCAATCTCCAAAGAACCTCGTGATGATAAAATCAATGTGCGCCAAATAGTCACGACTATAATCCATAACACCCTTGATCCAGAAGAGGTAGACTATACTTCAAACTCGCCATTGGGATATAGATCCTGAATCTGCTAGTATAAACCGATGTGAACCTAGCAGAGAAGCGAAACTGATGCACAAACTTCAAACTCGCCATGGGAATAAAATCCTAAATCTGCTGGCATTAATTTTTGGAATCCTAGCAGAAACGCGAAAAATTCTTATGCTCAAAACAAAGTACTTAGGTCTCCTTATTAACCTTCCGGTCTGTTGGGCATGATGGTAGCAAAATTCGCCATATAATTTGATCACCTTGTGATCTAGACAGGAGCGAGGCTCCCTCTCGACGACTTGAATGTGCTTCTCTTTTTTTTTCAGCATACTTCTCCTCTTAGGTAAATACCCCGCTGCAAAACTTCACTTGCCATAATGAGAATATTGCATCTCAATCCATTGCCATAACGAGAATATTGCATCTCAATCCATTGCCATAACGAGAATATTGCATCTCAATCCAGAAGCAGTAGATCAAACTTTCAACTCGCCTTGGGAATAAAATCCTGAATTTGTTGGTATAAATTTATGAAACCCTAACAGAAACGCGAAACACTCTGGGTGTATAAAACGAAGTATTTTTGATCTCTGTATATAACCTCCTGGTAAATCTGGCTTGTGAACGTAGCAATTGAAAGTGAATTTGGATTCACCTCGACAGAACCAAGCAATGCACAGAACTTGAATTCCTGGTGCGAAGGGCGTGTGCACTTAACAATTCCAACGTGAAATTTAATTCACATGAACAAGACCGAGAAGGCTGCTGAAGGCTTGGACTTTTCTCCTTCCTCGGGATGCGTGCGAAATAGATCAATGGCTTCAACCCTGCTGCTGCTTCTGATTTTCTCCTGCGTTGCTTGATGGACGTGATTCCGATCGATGTGTTGGAGCACCTGCTTAAATCGATCTGGTCGACACCGCTTCGGGTTTGCTTCACCGGTGATTCAATCTCACCGAATTGATTTCTGCGACGACGACGACGCGTTGCTGCTGCGGCCGATTCTCCGCGACGTGCGCTGCTGCTCCTTCCTCGGCGGCGGCAACGACGAGGCCAATCAGATCGATACTCCGATCCGAAAAATCACACCGGTGGCTGTGTGATTAGTAGATCGATCTCCAATGCTCTAATACCACTTGTTATGAAAATACCACTTATTATGAAAATAGATGTACAACGGAGACACGAATTTTACGTGAAACGCCGACCGGCAATGATCACTGTAGAGGAATTAGATACAAACGCAGGGGACACATTGGGCTGTCGGCCCCTCCCCATGCGGCTTAGAAGGGATATATATGGGAGAAATCTAGGAGTCCTATTAGATAACTAATCCGAATATACTGTAGGCCCAAAATTCGAATAACATATTTAAAAAAACAACTAATTTATCATCATGAAAGATTATTAAGAACGCATAGAATTCTAAAATAAAACAACATGATTATAGCACGGGTCGACTTGCCTGAATAAGCTAAAAGTCGTTAGAAAGAGACATATAATTACATTTAAAAATTTAATGAAAATAAACGAAGTGAGAGAAGTAAGTTATTGGTAATGTAACATCCCCACTTATAAATAATTATTACTTCCTCCGTCAAAAAAAATTGTGGACTTACACAAATTCTTGTGTTTATAGATAATTATTACTTTCTCCGTCAAAAAAAACCATCCTAAGTTTGAGTGTTCAGATTCAAATTCAGGATTGTTTTTTTTTTACGAACGAAGACGTCAATCATAAAAAAAAATAAAAGTGATAAAGCTATATTTAGATTTTTCGTCTAGTAGAAGAAAAATGAGACACCATCTGCATGTACTTACGGAGTTTGGAGAGGAAGAAGAGGAGACGCTATCACCCACCACCCGTCCACTCCCGGCGAGCACATGAGCCCCACGTGTCATCCACCCCCACGAGCCGTGGGGCCCGCACCCCCGAACGGCCTCTTCGCTCCGCGCACCCAACCAACGCTGCTGCTTCCAACGCCATTTCTTGGTTTTCCATCCGCCGATCCACTCGCCCGATCCCCTGCCGATCCACACGCGCGAACGCGCCTCTCTCGCCGATCCCCCTCCTTCGAGAGCTTCGTCTCCGAGGCATTTCGGAGCATTGAGCGGCACAGGCAAAGGCAATCCCCCGCTTTCTTGATTTTTTTTTCTTTTTCGTGGTTCATATCATCGGCGGTCGGCATTTTAATCTGTATGAAACTGGCGCGTGTGTTGGTGATCCTGTTTAGAATCTGTATGTAATCTGCGGTGGGAGATGTATGGCTTACTACTGACATGTTTCTTGATTTGTTTGTTTGGGGTATTTGTTAAAGAATTGCAGATTTGCAGTATGGGCTGGTTCAAAGATTCTGCATTATTCTAGTCGGTATAAAGAAATCTTGTTGTCTGATGCTGCCATGCAATTTGGCCTCTTGTTAGGGATGATAACCAGATAAGTAGTCTACATTGTTAACTAGGAGCGAATAGAAAATTTGCAGGCACATTATCATGGACAAATCTGGTTGTTGTTGTGTTGATTGATTGAATGTCATCAAGCAAAAAAAGGTGGGTGCATACTCTTAATTGTTCGCAATGATTCTTTGCGAGAATCATGGGTTTGATGATGCAACCAAACCAAAAATGTAATCGTAGTCCTAACTACTGATGGAATATTGGGAGCAATTAGGTAGGTCCGTAGGTAGATCCTTGTCACTAGGATGTACAGGTCCTATATGCTTTTTGTAGCCTCCATTGGGCTTATGCGCATCGTGCCGCCTCAAGTTTTGTCGAGTAAGGTTTCAGGTAATGCACAACCATGATTGTTTCCTTTTATGAGGCTGGTACCTATTGTTGTAGGCGGTGTGTTTCGTGCCCCCCTGCAAGTTCATGCATCCCCAAACTAGATAGTTGATCATGTTCATGCTCTCATCACAAGCGTTGTTTACATTTGCAGGGAAGTGGCTTCTATCACCCTACAAAATTGCGTTGTTTGCTGAAATGGGGGGCATAGTCGGGCGGGGTGATTCTCCAAGGCACACTTCACCAGCATCAAAGTTAGAGAGAAAGATGGTTGAAGCCATGCAGCAGAGAGCACAGAAAGGAACTTCTGTTAAATCATTCAATAGTGTTATTATGAAGTTCCCAAAAATTGACGAGAGTTTGAGAAACTGCAGAATTATCTTTCAGCAATTTGGTGAGTGCTAACCCTGTATGTGTACTAGTGCTATGATATTACTGATACTTATTTCTTGCGTGCTGTCAAAAGGTCAAAACTCGAAAGGAAAACTGGATTGAACATCGAAAGCAGAAACTGTCCTGAATATTAGCTCATATAGTGATGTTCTAATTTTGATTGAATTGTGTAGCCGTCAATAGCTAAATATAAAGATGTTGAAAGTTTGGAGTTGATTAACTTGTTCGAGTTACTTCAAGAAATTTTCCTCAACCTAATTACCATACAGTTTACATGTGATCCTGTAGCCTGGATCAACTAATTTATGTAACTGGAGATGATAGACCTCCTCAAGTTTTTGTTTCCTTAATTTCTCGATTTCTTTGCTTTTTCTATTTGTGAGGATTTTGGTTTCGACCTAACATCTTGTGAATTGTATTCACTTGGAAATCCCATCCTCGATCTGTGTGGCATTTCCTTTGTCCCCTTTTGTTTTCTTGTTCTGACAAATATCATTATGTTTCTCTCCAGATGAAGATTCCAATGGTGAAATAGATCAACAAGAACTTAAGCATTGTTTTCAAAAGTTGGATATCTCATTCACAGATGAGGAGATAAAAGACCTATTTCAGGCATGTGACATTTATGAAAACATGGGCATGAAATTTAATGAGTTCATTGTCTTCCTGTGCCTTGTTTATCTTCTGAATGATCCGCTTGTGTCAGAAGCAGTATCCTTCATGCTTCATTATAGCAAGTCTTCGAATTTTTGTTATCAATTCATTCTGCTGCTGCATTGCATGTATATAATTAGGAAATGTTTGCCGCTTTTTTATCTTCTCAAAAATATAATTCATACATATTAGTAACACTAACTTTTCCCATTTGATCACAAAAATCTTAAAAATGCAAGTAGCTCGTTGCAAAGTAAGATTAAGGAATAATACTTGGGTATATGGTACCCTTGCAGAAGGGTGATATTTGTATTCTTGCATGCGTACATTGATAATCTGCATGGGCATTTAGAAAGTAAGTCAAAGGAGGCTATTATTTAAGACATTTTTCATGTTGCAACAAATTCAAGACAAGATTTTGAAACAATTTCAACAGAGGTGCTTTCAAACAAAGTTGAAGAGAGACTCAAAGTGCTTTCCTAAAAACTTTCATCATAGCATAAACTTGTTAGACCATACAGGGGCTTTTAAATGGATATTCTCTATATAATCTGCATCGAATTTATTCCTTATCATTTCTCCGTTGTGTTTATTTCTGGATACATTTATACCCTTGACACTATGCTTTAGAGAAAAAGAATGGGACTAGGTAGTCTTGAACCAACTTTCGAGACATTGGTTGATTCATTCGTCTTCTTGGACAAAAACAAAGATGGGTATGTCAGCAAGAATGAGATGATACAAGCGATCAACGAAACCATCGGAGGAGAACGCTCTTCTGGGCGGATAGGCATGAAAAGATTTGGTAAGTTTTCTTTTTTGTGGTATCGTCACAAATCTCACATGAACACAGTACACACTGACAATGATGGTCCTAATACACTCTTTTGGTGGTCCCAGAGGAAATGGATTGGGACAAGAATGGAACGGTGACCTTCAAGGAGTTCCTCTTCGCTTTTACTCGTTGGGTGGGGATTGATGATAACGAAGATGACGACGATGAGGAGGGAGTGTAAAATGAAGATTTACTCATCCTGAATTAGGCCAAGTCAGCAGCCCTCAGGAGCACTCAAGCAGTCCTCCTATTGTGGCTTGGAGTACTCAATGATAAACCGGAGATTAGTTCATGTTGTTTATGTTCTTGTTAATATAAAGATTGGACCCAAGTTATTTCTAGTTGTGGCGAAAGTTTAGTGGTATAAAGCTGCTTTGGTCATATGGCATTTGATCCAATTGATCGTAGATAATTAACCCTGTCATTCAAAAAAAATTGTAAGCTTGGATGTTTCAGAGATAAAAAATTGTAAAGTGTGAGGAAGTGTCATTTTCTTTGAAATTAAATGTTTGTTCTTGTATATACCCCCTCTGTTTCAAATATAGGTGCTTTGATGTTGTTTGTCATTCGAACTCATCTCCCCCTTCCAGTCCTATAGAATTTCCAAGGCATATCCTTCCGAATTATGGGATTTTAAAGAATTTTAGAGAAATGAGGAACCCAATAAACAAATCAAAATAAAGCTAACACGTGGCATGCCAAAACTTTTGCGGCTAAGAAATCGTTGGCCAAATGGTAGGCAAACTTTGATAAAAAATTGTACCCATGACAAGTGGCGATATTGAGTTAAATGTTGTGACATGACAAAAATACGATCAGAAAACAAACAATAGATTAAGTTGGTCAAACTAAGTGACACCGTGGATATGGATCATCTTAAGATTTAACCAATAGGATAAAACTACCTTAATATGACCCATTACATACAAATGGATCACCTTTACTTAACAAATCTTAATAAATCCTAGCTACGTCACTGCCTACTTGACAAAGTTACGGTAAAGCATAGCTATAAACCAAACACGCACTAAGTGTTGAAACAGTTGGAGGGGTGTATAAAAATCCACATTTTATCCCCCAAATAGTAATGACAATTACTTTTTGAGGGGATTGTTGGGGAATGGGGCCTTATTAGGGATATGCTAGAAATACTTTAATACTCCTTTTTTTTAAAAAAAAAGAATTGAGTTGCTGACTCATCCCTGGATCAGGAGCGACGTAGACGAGCTACCGACCAATCCCCATGGAGCTGCTGCTGTAATCCACACGACAGAGTCAGAGATCTGGGGACTAAGTCCCAAGAACATCCCTCCCTCCCCTCCCAGCCAGGAGAAATCCAAGGTAATCCAGAATCTCCCTTGAGCATTCCTGCAAATCCTGGGTTTTTTTTTTCAATTCTTGGTTTCTTGATGTCTCTCAAGTATAGGCGATATCCTGAATTCCTTTCATCATGGTTAGGCTGTTCTTAGCGCTTTGCTGAATTGCATTTCTTCGAATTCATTTCATCGCGCTGCACCGATTGCTGTTCTTCTATGGATTTGACACTGAAAAAGGGGGACAGCGTGATTCACTCGAGTTGAGATTTCTCAGGTGTCAAAAGGCAAAACGACATTGATGCATGAGTGTTCTTGGATGCTTCTTTACATATGTAGCAGGAAACTATAGGATGAGGAAAAGGAACTCCTTGAAGTTCAGTATTTCTGTTTGGTTGATGCATATTTGCAGGACTGAAAACATTGGAAAGTGTAACTAAGCAGTAAGAAGATCTGAATATGAGTGGAAGACGTGATGATTCAGGTACTTTTACCATCAGGCACTGAGCATTCACTTTCTTTATCACTGCATTGAATTGCATAATATGCTCCTGCTGCCCTCAAAAGAGCAAATTGGAGAATCAGTCATATTGCACAGTGAAGTGAATAATGTGTGGTGATCATGCACAAATTGGTGACCAAAAACAAAATTCTGCAACTTCTTGGAGTACTTCAGATTTGGTCATTTTCAATGGGTGTGCATTTACTAGTTTGCTCTTTAGTGCTGACAGATAAGATTTTGCCGGTGGAGAAGGTCTTGCATGATGAATTCATATTTCATTTTTCTCATGCAGCTAAGATGGCAAAACTGAAGGAGCTATTGCACAGAAGTGAAAACCGTATCTGTGCTGACTGCAGCGCGCCTGACCCCAAATGGGCGTAAGTATTTTCAACCTGATTCAAACTATCTGCAGAGCATCTGATTCCCAGTGGCTGTAAGACTTTGTAGAACCTGATTGTTCAATTTGAATCAGTTGGTGGTTTAAGTGATCACTAGTAATTAGTTTGTTTTCATATCCTTGCTGTGTTTTTGTTTGTATCCTCTTCTCTTCTATTTATTTTCTCTGGCAATGGTATTTGCACAAGAAAAAAACCAGGCAGCATGTATTGAGGAAAAATGAATGATGCACACACAGCCTTAAATCTGAAGAATCCCTTCCATTTTGCCCCATACCTGTCATTATGAGCATAATCAGGCTATTGTACACTGATTTTAGTTAGGGGCTTCTCTTGACTGATAGTTCCTTGCAATTAATTGTTTTTTTCCTTACAGATCAGCTAATATAGGAGTATTCATATGCCTCAAGTGTTCCGGTGTTCACAGAAGTCTTGGCACACACATTTCAAAGGTTTCTTCAATTGCAATATAGATAGTGCTATAAATCTTTTTTCATCTTTCTTATCCAATTGAATTCAGCAAGTTTTTCTGTATTTACAGCATAGGCAAAGTTTGCACTGACAATTATGGCATATTATACATCATGTTTTGAGCATAATCACCATTCAGTATTTGTTTTGAGCAGGTTCTGTCAGTCACACTAGATCAGTGGAGTGACAATGAAATTGATAACGTGATCGAAGTCGGTGGAAATTCTCACGCCAATGCTATATATGAAACCTTCCTGCCGCAGAACCACAGCAAGCCACATCCAGATTCTACCCAGGAAGAGCGAGAAAAATTCATCAGGTATTTTATTCCTCTGTTAGTTCGCAGCACTTTCAAGTGCAGGGTATGCCATTCTCTCATCTGAATTCCCAGATACAGGTCAATACTTTGGAGCTTCCCTTTTGTTCTGCAAATTGAACTGAAGAAATAGCTTAAAAAAATGTTCTCCTATGGTGTTTCAGTTATATCAAATGACACATACAGTTAATTACAATTCTTCAGGTCAAAATATGAGTTACAAGAGTTTCTTGAGCCAAGCCTACGGATTGTTTCTCATCAGTCTAGCGACTCCGGGAAACATGCAGGCAGTGCCTCCCATTCTGTCAGTTCCAAGAGCGAAGTAGGCAGCACTGTCCTAAAACTGCAAATTGCATTTTGTTCTACCTTACTTAGCATGTTCTGCGACTCTTAGATTCAAATTTAGTAATCCCCGATTTGATTTGCAGGTAGGCATGATTGAGTTCATCGGAATATTGAATGTCAAGGTGAAAGGAGGCACCAACCTAGCCATCAGAGACATGTCAAGCAGTGATCCTTATGTAGTCCTGACCCTTGGGCAACAGGTAGTATTATGAAATCCTAATTTTCTGATGGTTTCTGGGCAACTAATTCAAGATCGAATTCATCGTTTTGTACCACATTGTCTCTCATTCAGAACATGCAGAAATTCTTGTTCTAAATTTCACCATATCTTCGCTGTGTGCAGAAAGCGCAAACCTCGGTGATCAAAGCCAACCTGAACCCTGTCTGGAACGAAGAACTCAAGCTCTCTGTTCCTCAGCAATACGGCCCTCTCAAACTGGTAAATCCCCTCACAGAATCACAACCAAACCTTCGAAAATCTTCTAATCTGTTTCTTCCATCTGATAGTCAAAATAGCTAATTGTTCACCACTGAAATTTTCCGGTGTGTTCTTCCATCTGACAATTAATTTTCTGGTTTGTTCATACATCTGATAATTAGTTTTTCTGATTAGTGTTCATCCATCTGATAATTGTGACAATTAGTTTCTCTGATCCGAGTGTTCATCCATCTGATAATTGTGATCTTTGCTTTTCTTGGATGCAGCAAGTGTTCGACCACGACATGCTGTCCAAGGACGACCTGATGGGGGAGGCCGAGATCGACCTGCAGCCGATGATCAACGCGGCGGCGGCGTTCGGCGACCCGGGGCTGCTCGGCGACCGGCAGATCGGCCGGTGGCTCAAGTCCGGCGACAACGCGCTCGTCAGGGACAGCGCCGTCGTGGTCGCCGGCGGCGAGGTGAGGCAGGAGCTGGCCCTCAAGCTGCAGTTCACCGAGTCCGGCGAGGTGGAGCTGGAGATGCAGTGGTTTCCACTCAACATGTAGAACAAATCACGCTGTCACTTCGGATTTCAAGCTGGAGAATTTTAGAAAAAGAAAAGATGGGTTTTGATAATGAAGTTCATTGCATGAACTGTTTCAGCAAGTTTTTGCGTTGTTTACATGGCAAATTTTGCTGCGTTCAGAAATTTTAAATTTTTGGTTTGGCACGAGCCATTGCCCTGTTAACTTGGTTCATTTGTGATTCCAATAAAAAGGATTCTTTTGTGCTCTGGGTTAAATTCTTTTAGCTTGGCACTCGAAGTTTGCTCTTCGGAGTTTAAATGTTGTCAAACTTAGATCGAAACATTTTCCGTGTCTAATGCCAGCGAAAAACTATAAAACATTAGAGAACTTTGCTGAAATTTGCGAAATAAAACGGAGAAAATCGATGCAAAAATAGGGTAAGGCTTCAGTGTGTGTAACAACATTAAGCGATCAGCGACGACATAATCGCCTCACAGAAATCCGCTAAGATCCTTTCGGACCTGAATCATCATAAGCCATTCGATGGGAGTATCAAATCAATACAACGATCCGACACGTCCCGTTTCATTGTGTATTTTTAGCAATTTTACATTGGATCACTGTGCTCCCAAAAATTACTGTGCCCAGATTTACCATGTTCCATGCTTCAAAATCAAGGATTCAGAACGCTTCCAGTTTACAGAGCCGTTTCACGGAGCAAACGTTTTCGTAATGAATTTGTATTCGTTTTCGTAATGAAATTATATTTCGAGAATAATACAAATGCTCTATTCAGAAAAAAAGAAACTGGGAAGAATTGAACTGTACATACAACTGCAATGCTCAGTGGAAAGAGAAGTCGTTTTTTGGATTGAAAGCTCACGGCGACTGACGCCGCCACTGCTAAAACCCATTAAAATCATCATTGCATTGCGTTTCTCAAATCGAATACCTTCATCCATGTTTCTTTTAGCAAAAGTTTCAACCAAAATATAGCGGAGGCTTTGAGAGGCAGAATAAAAGAACAGAAAACAAAAAAAGAGAGAAGAAATAGATGCAAAAAAATATATTAAGGAGAGAGAAGGCTTCAGTGTGTGTAACAACATTAAGCGATCAACGACGACAGAATCGCCTCACAGAAATCCGCTAAGATCCTTTCGGACCTGAATCATCACAAGCCCCCTCTGATGGATTTATCAAATCGATAGCACCAAACACCACGAAAAACAAATCGAGATCGCGAATCTGCACGAGGAGAACCAAATCGAGATCGACAAAACGAACTGGAAAAGGAGATGGACCAATCCAAATCGAGATCGACAAAACGAACTGGAAAAGAGATGGAGGTTCGAATCAAAATCAAAATCAAAATCGCCGCATCGAAGCAGATCTGAAGGGGAGAGGAGGGGCGAGATGACGGCGGCTGGCGGCTAGGGCTTGGCTTTTCCTGTTCAGGGCGATGGCTTTATAGAGAGGCGGAGCTCGAATTAGGTCACCGCAAATCTGGGAGAAATTACGCTTTTGCCCTCGGGCGAACTCAAAAACGCCAGACGAATACCGAGACCGTCCGATCGCCCGATTAGTATTTGACGGTCCAGATAGAGGGCAGTTAAAAATCGAAACAAATGAGGAGGCTTTTTCACGAATCCTGAGCACACTACTTTTTCTTTCTTCGGTTGCACAGGATATACATACGTGCATATACATCACTACACACACAACATTATTTTCGTATGAATATGATCTCTAACCCACGCTCAAAGAGACGAAAATTAGCGGTGTCTCGATAAATTTCAATTGCAAACCCATTTACATGTGCGTGTAATATTTATAAGCACCATGATTTGATCCATGTTATGTGGTCCAACACTGCTGCACACGGTGCTTAATCGGAGTACTTTGTTTCTATCTTTTTTTCGATTATACAGAAGACACATACACACGCATGCCACACTCACATGTGAATACTTCGCTTGGTTGATACACACGCTCAAAAAAGACGTAGAACGGTGGCCACTCTTTAGATTCATTAGGTTTTATTAGAATGATATGTGTAATAGGACGCTCAAGAAGATGTAGACTAGTGGCCACTCTCTAGTTTTATTGAGATGATATGTGTAATAGGATTTGACCCATGACTAGGTTTAAAAAACTATGGAAATCAATAGTGAAATTTGGACTTCTCGGACTGGGCAAAAGACACAAACACTCGGTTTTTAGGTCAAGTTAAAAAAAACAGAATTTTAAAATTTTTATGACATATATATTTCCGGATTTTATTTTTTTTATCAATTTATCAAGTTGTTTTTTATTTTAAATAAAGATGAATTATTGTGCTATATGCAGAAAAAACACTGCTACTTCAAGCTCTCCTGACTTCTACACTTTGAGTCTTCAAGGGTACACACATAGAAAAGACAATAGGAATTTACTGTGTTATAAGCAGAGGCTGTGTTAGCCAAATTCTTTGTTTCATTGTCTGACCTGAAAATTGAGCTGAGCTCCTGAAGTATAGGTGGCCATATGGCCCGAGGCCCACGGCCCGGCCCGAAGCCCGCAATTTTGGCACGACCCAAGCACGGTACGGCCCAACCCGACAGCCGGGTCGTGCCTGGGCTGCACCCTCGGCACGGTGGGCCGGCCCAATGCACGGCCCGATCAAATAAAAATATAGGGATGCAAAATAGACTTAAATAATCGTATAAGGCAAGGCCCAAGACAGGAGGTATACAAAATAGACTTATTTTCCAGCCATTTAACCCAGCCCGCAGAGTTGAGGGACCAAAATTAGACTTTTTCTGTGAGGAAGCACGATGGGTCATCGTGCCTTCGGGCCGGGCCATGCCTGGGCCGTGTATGCCGCCCGTGGGCTGGCACAACACGGCCCGGTGTGTCGGTCGGGCCATGCCAGCCCAACAAGCCTCGGCCCAAGCACGGGCGGGCTTGGGCCGTGCCGTACCGGGCGGCCCAGATGGCCATCTATATCCTGAAGTCTCCCCCTTAGCACAGTTTCAAACGATAATCAAACAACTAGGTGTACAAGAAATCACACATTATATATTCCATATGGTAAGCAAATTTTGCTTACCAATTTGGCCGTTACAACTAGTGTTCTCCTTTCCAAAAAATAACTATAGACAAAAAAGAATTAAGGCATCGGGACCTGTATATATCATCTGCACACCAAGGAATAAACCAAACCAAAGACCAAACTTTCAGCAACTGTATAATACGCTGCATTGCCAGAAGAGATAATCTAAGAGAGTTCGCAGCTCCTCCCCACACATCAACAGAGGATAGATCGGGCATCGACCACCGACTGCGGTGGATCGAGGTCCCTGTCCTGCAGGGAGTTGCCTAGATGCTTTTGCATTTCTGATGCAAAGACATCGTCCAGGATCTGCACATAACACTCAAGGTCAGGATTATCATTACAAAGGTAAAGACGTTTTGCCTGTTTGGGGGAGCTTGTCCCAGCTGCAGCTTTTCCCAAAAGCTGCTTCTGATAGAAGCTGCCCCAAACAGTCCACAGCTTCTGAGAATCTGTAGTTCTGAAAAATGAACTAAGAAGCCAGAAGCTGGAGAAGCTAGGTTTCAAAGCTTTTCCAGATTCTCGGAAGCTGGCTACCAAACAGCTGCTTCTCAGAATCTAAAGCTCCCCCAAACAGGCCCTTTGGTGTTTTTCAGAATTTTAAGATTCTTTGTTAACTTGTCTTAATAATTGAACAAATACAGAGCCTATATATGCACAGTTCACATATTATTTGATAGTGGATAAAATATTGGTGTTAAGTATGGGCTTACCCCTAATGCATAATCAGATCCTCTGTACCAAATCCTGTTCTCTTTTCTGCTCTCAAGAAACCTCAACACAATCTGTCCAAACCCCAAGTTAGTATGTAAGCACAATTTGCACCAGAATAAAATGTTAGGGTTGGTCTCGTTTTGTCATATTTACCTGACCCAACCTGTCCCAGAATCCTCGGCAAATAGCAACAAATATTCTGCTGGAAAAGACTTCATGTAGATTGTAAATGGAATCAGAGAGATGAACACGGAGAGCCTGCATCCTCTCACGTATATCGCTTTCTCCTTCGCTTTCTCTCGTTTCTTCAAGAATCCGTTTTAGCCTAGTGGTCCGGTTAGCTTGTGCCTGAAATCAATAACCAAAACTTATGGCACCTCTGTATGTAAACTACCTTAGTTAACATTGGACCAAAATGCTGCATTGGTAAAAGGTCTGTAAAACTTCATTCTTACATTACTGACAAGCTTCTCCACAATTGCTTGCAGGTATTTCTTGTACTTCTTCCTCAGCATTACTGTGATGGAGTTCATTTGCTCTCCGAAAACAGCATTCCCATTTGTTATTGTTAGATATGCTGCCCATGATTTGAGACTATCTTCAACTCGGCAGTGTAACACGTCTAACATTCTTTTAACTGTGTTCATGAATGTTCCTAACTGTGATGAGGGAAAACCAAGTGGTTACTAACAAACTAAACACCACAGCCTACAGAACACTTGACAATGCAAACAAACCTGATTCGGTACAACATAAGGGCTTATAGATTGCCTTCTTGTCAATCTTTGAACCTGCTTCTCAAGAATTTTCGGTATGCCGTCTCTCAGAGGTAGTAGAGTTTCCATGTATTGCTTCTCCAGTGCCTTCATAATTTCTCTCTCCACATCAGCAATAGCCTGAATCAGAAAATGAATATCAATCGAGTCCAACACATGACAAGCATGGGGAGTTGATCATTCAAGGACTATGAAGTGTGTACTTACACTCTCTAAACTCATCAGATAATGTGGCCATCTGTTGATAACTACTCCATATTCATTTATGCTTTCTTTTATTTGTTCATACATTTGCTCGACAAATGTCGAGGTTGTTGAGACTGCAGGGCATGATAACTGCAAAGGTAGGTGAGGAATATAAGCAAGGAAGTGCGAGTGCTAAGGTCTGCTTAATCATCAATGTGTTTATGGTTACCTTATCAGCTCTGCAATTGTCAAGTAACTGCAATCGGGTATCTTCAATCCACACCATGATGTAGCCATGAAATAAATCCCTTGAAACCACACCCCCATGCACAGGTCTAAAATTTTATAGTCAAAACAAATGAAGCAGTAACACATTAGTGTTCAATGTATCAGCTCAAAAGAATGTGACAGTTTGGGAGCACAATCAACCGGAAAAAAACAGCAGTAGATCAACTATTCAACTGTATCTTACCTCACTTGCCAAGAGTCAAGATCTCTCTCAAAATCTGCAGTAGCAATGAGCAGTTCAGCAACATGCTCTAGTGGTCTTGATGGGGGACTTGCAGAAAGAAAACCCTTCAATCGTTTGCAGAGCTCGGTACTGTACAGGGATGCTGCTATATTTGGCAGATCTATTGAACTAAAGGAAAACAAAAAAAAATCTGTGAGATACGCTACCATTGTACAAAAGAAATTAATTTCCTCCACTAGAGTGTATAGATGTGTTACCTTGGAAGTATATTCTGATTGTGAATCTTAATATCTGCTTGAATTTCACGACTTATGTTAATACATATAGTCTTCATTTTGAGATATGCAGCAGAAATAGCCATAGGGTCCGTAAGAAGGCTGTCATTGTTGCTTGACATGAATTCGTCTGTCTCAATCATATGCCTCCTGCACCTTTTTGCCGCAGCAGTCTGTAAAAGGGAAGTTTATGCTATTCAATTCTGTGTACACAAAGAGTAAGCAAAAGCACAGCCTGTTGTCCATTTCTGCTAGTTGGAATACCAATTATTTTGCAAAACCGATTTTGAAAGGTGTTTGCAAAAATTCCCGATTAGCGATTAATGTCTGTGCTTGAACAGGAGATCATATAATAATAAGATAAAAGTGTGAACTCTGCAACTGGACCAAAAAAACTATTTATTGACAAAGATTAATT